TCCCCCTTTTTAGCCTCACCTGAGAGCCAATGTCGCCTGACGTTCGCTAATTCACCAGAGCCTGGTAGATCGGCTCCGCGCCTTGAATTTTTGCTGGTCTCGCACCGAGGCTTCTTTGAAAGGCTCAACTTCTTGCTCTGTTTCCCGAACAAAGGGCGTTGGGTACTTGAGCATGTCTTGCTTCGATGGCAGGACTTAGAAACCATGTCAAGTCCCGACAATCACTCTTCGAGTTCAAGAAAAACATGTCCTAGACAAAGCACGTCGAGCATAACCAATGGACAGAGCCGAATCCCACAAGCACTACCGAGAGCTCCCAGACATGGTGACGAGAAATTATCACCGCAAAAGCCTCATCAAACACAATTGGTAGTTATCGTCTGTTTCTCATTAAAAGAACCGGTTACGGATCTTTGGTGTAGTGGTTGTGTGTCAGTGTGTGTGTGTGTGTGTGTGTCGTCGGTCTTGGTATGGTACAGCATCATCACCCAATTCCCAAGGCCGCCCTTCCCCCCCTTTCCCTTTCCCCATCCCCTTTCCTTCCCCCCCAAGAAAACAGTTCTCTCGGTAAAAGCAATGGGACGCCAAAACTTTTGTTCATGCTATCCCCTTTTCCTCCCAGTGCTCCCTTTCCCCTGACCCGTTCCAACTTTGCCCAAATGTACAGGGACTCCATCCTTCATCGCCATCAATTTTGATTGTGATAGTGAAGAAGAGAGAGAGCTAGCTCAAACGTCGTTTGCGCTGGGTAGAGGTAGGTAGTCATCCTCGAAAAAGGAAGTACCTCGCCACGAGCGCGGATGCAAATGCTGGAAAAACGCATGCGCGAGAGAAGGAAAAAACAAAAACATGAGAAATGGAAAGGATATTGGGGATAAAAGTACAGGAAACGGTGTGTAAATCCACGCCCTTGCCCTGTGAACTCCTTGCAAAAGAAACGAAGGTGACTGTAGCTTTTCTCTCCCTTCCTCATCGGTATTCGTCCGACGATCGTGAGAACATTGGTGGTATTGGGGACTAGTGTGGTTTTGAGTTTGAGTGTCGTGTGGTCGTGGGTGATATCTCAGTGTAGGGGGTGGAAGCTACACTCGAGATACCATTTCGAGTAGATGACGGGATCGATATTTTGTGTCGGTTGTTAACGCCAGTCAGAAACTTTACAGACGCCCCCGAGAATCGGTGACACCTGATGAGCCCGCAACTGAGTTGCTAGGACTTTATTGTCCCGCTTTAAGCAGCAGCCTGGGAGGCACCACGACCACGGACACTGCCGCGACCACGTGCCTGACCACCGGTAAAGTTACCGCGGCCACCTCCCTGGCTGCCGGAGCGGTTTCCTCCCTCAAACCCACCACGGCCACGACCGCCGCCGGTGGCGTTGCCGCGAGGAGCGTTGGAGGAGTAGTTGCTACCACCGTAGGCAGTAGCCTTGGGACGACGGGGCTCGACGATGATGTTCTCACCGTTGACGGTGTGGGGGTTGGCGGCGGCAGCGGCCTGGTAGCCAGCAACAGTGGCGAACTCGACAAACGCGCAGTTCTGTAGAAGCATTAGTCTCTGTTACTCAAGATTGTTCACCGCATTTCAAGTCTCACCTTCTGGCGGTTGATGTCGAAGTAGGTGAGCTCGCCATGGGCAGCCAGGGCGCCCTTGAGGTCCTCGGCCTTGACCTTGTCAGTGACGTACTTAACGTATCCCAACGTGCCGTAGTTCTCGGTGGGTGCCTGAGAGATAGACTGAGGGCGGTTCTGGCGCTTGGAGTCAGCTCCAACGGACTGCCACTCGGCGGAGGGAGAGTCCTCCTTGGCAGCCTGGGCCTGAGTCTCCTTGGCCGGGGCATCGGTGGCGGGGGTAGCCTCTTTCGCGGGGGCGGCGACAGGAGCAGCAGGGGCAGGAGCCTTGGCCTGGCCCGCGGGAGGAGTGGCGGTCTTGGGGAGGGGCACGACAGGCTTAGGTCCGACGGCAGCGGCAGCACGGCTGGCCCAAGACATGGGCTTCATCGGGACGGGCGCAGGAGCGGTCTTGGGCTTCTCGGGCTCAGCGACGGGAGCCTTTGTAGGAGCGACAGGGGTAGGAGAGGGGTCGGCGGGCTTCTCGGGTTCGGTGATGTCTTCCTCAGCAATCTCCTTGGCAGCGACCTCGGGGTCAGCCGCCGGCTCCTCGACCTTGGTATCGGAGGCCTTTGCGGGCTCGAGAACAGCGGGCTCAGCATCGCCGTTGTTGGAGGCGACATCCTCGGGGGCCGCGCTGACCTCCTCCAGCTTCTTCTCAACCTCATCGACATCGATAGCCGGGCCAGTGGCCTCCTCGGGAGTCTGCTCGATCTTGGGCTCCTCAGTCTCTGCTTGGGCGGGGACCTCGGCAACCTCCTCAGGAGCAGCTTCCTCCTCGGGGGCGGCCTCGGCCTCGGCGACGGGCTCTTCCTCGTCCTCGTCGTTGATATATCTCAGGATGTCGTTGACGACGAAGTAGCCGGAGGGCTGAGGCGCGAGGACAAAGGTCTGGACAAACTTCTTCGGCTCGGCGGACTTGATGGAGCTCTCACCAATGACCTGGATAACGATGTTGTCGAAAGAGGCCTGGGAGTCAACGTTTGTGATGCGGACCTTGCTGTTCTGGAAGTCGAGGCTCTTAATCCTCTCTTGAATGGTCTAGGAAGCGTAACGATCAGCATGAAGCCCAGCTGAGTAGGCAGCGAAGAAGCAAGAAAAAAATTGTTTCAAACTTACTTGTCTGCCGACAGATACGTTGGCGACCTCTGCCTCCATACCATAAACGAACTGGGAGCGCTTTCCGTAGAAGAGCTATGGATACGTGTCAGTATTACAAGAGCCATCTTGTGATAGGCCGAGTTGGATACGTACATGAAGCTTATCCGGGTTCTTGCTCAGGGTTGTGTAGTATTGCTCGACAAAGTACCAGCCAACCTCATCCTTGCTGAGATTGTTGTTTCCAGCCGAGACGGCATCGTTGTTTGAGGTGGGACCTGATGATGTTGGCTCGACAGCGCCCTTGAACTGGTCCGGGTGTGTGTAGTTACCGTTGGTTGCCATGATTGCTTCTAGGGAATCTGATATTTGGGCGCAATCGGACCGAGGAAAGTAGGAAGGCGGATGGGAGGAGGAACGACGATGAAGGTCGCGAGAGTGCGAAGCTCGAGGTTTCTGCGGGGCTTTTCGCTTGCTTGCGGGGAGGTCTTTCGCGGAAGGAATTTCGATAGCAGGGACCCTTTGAAAGATGGAATGTTAGGATTACGATGTGCGCCAATGGGAGTGGAGATGAAGAATTAGAAGATTTAAGCTCTGGGAGGAGGAGGAGTAGATGCAGAGCGAGCAATATGGATGACCAAAGAGCATACCTCAAAAAATGCGATGGGCCGGAAGAGAAACGCTCAGAAGTGGCTCGAAAGAGGTTGATGAAAGAGAGCCGAGGAGGAGGGGGGCAAGAGGATACGCCGGAAAAAGGGTTTCGACGACGATGCGAGGGGCGGCGGGAGCTGGGAGAGATGGAGACGCGTGACGAGGAGCGATGTGCGGAGATCAAAGAAAGAAGGGATGGGCGATGGGAAGAGGAAAATGAATGGGCACAGTTAGGAGGACACTGGGATAGAACCGGCTCAGGGTGTGTGGGTTTTTGTGTGTTCAGTTCAGCAGATCTGGTCGTCGGGGCGGCGGCGGGCGGGTTCAGAGGAGAGCGGAGCGGTTGCGAAGTGGGAGGAGGAAGTGGGACGAAGATGTTCTTTTTTTTATTTTATTTTTCGTTTGCGGTCGAAATGTCGTGAGAAGAGAGGGACACTTTTTTGGGCTTCCCGGGGGTACCAGGCGCAACCCGAAGATGTGGAAAGGGCAAAGGAATCAAAAAGAAAAAAAAAATAACACACAATTGTTGCTGCCAGATCACGACGTGCCCTGTGCTTCTCTGGGCCACCGTCTGTCTCCTGCTGCCCGCGCGCAGGTCTGGGAGCTGATTACCGACCCAAGTGGGGTTGTTGGTGTGCACAGATCCCGATACCTCTAGGAGCTGCCCGGGTACTTACGATCCCGGCACTCTTTGCTGAGAACGCGAGGTCCCTGGAAATCATCTCAAGTATCTGCAGGTCCGCTTATATAATCAGGGTCGTACGCAGACCCGAAGCTCTCGGCCAAGCTCCCAGCTCAAGCAAAGGAACAATTGACTTAAACACACGAATTGCCAACTGCAATTGAGCGACACTCTGTGCGGCAGAGCGCTTGAGGCTCTGTGACCTGTGTCTCACATGTCTGCTAGATATCCCATTGTCGTTTGGCTTCCTTGAAAGAAGCGCATCGTCCCAATATGACGGTCCATCCTCCAAATCGCCTGGGACGTTGAGGCAGGGTATTACCGAGGCAAGGGATGAAGCTAATATTGTGTCAGACGCCAAAGCAAACTTCAGTCTTTTGTTCAAATTCTGTCTTTGCTCGGCTTCCTGTCTAAATTCTTTGCTCATGGCCATACAATTATAATGATACAGTGGTATTGTAGTTCGATTTTGTGGAATCTGCTCAAAAGGGGCATTTTATTCAACCCAGCCAAAGACCTCGCTCACCGCCATCGTGTTGGATCTGACGCCGATGAGGGTGATGACAAGTCCAACCAAGTCCACAACCAGTAGCAGAGCCGCCGCCATCATGAAGCGGGGGCTGAACACTCTGTAGAGCATAAGGTGTCTCCTCAGCCACCCAGCCCATGCCATAGTCGCCAACGACTCAACGGCGAAGTAGGCAACAAATATACCCAACGCCCTGCCAACGCTCTCAAGTACCCCCTTCCTCTTAGGACCGACTTTCCAGAGTACGATGAGAGGGACGGCTGCGACCGCAACAATTTGACCGGCGAAAGTGTTGAGGGCCATGATGATGGGACTCCACGGGTATCGGATGGTGAACAGCGGAATGAAAGCACTGTCCCATTGGAGACTGCTGAGTGTGGCTTGATGGCCAGTCTTGAAGTACCCAAAGTTGCCAATGATTGCAAGCATGATGGGTCCAATGGCCTCATTTGTCAAAGAGTTAAGGTCGAGAATCTCCACCAGTGAGAGAATCTGCCAGAACATAAGGGCCAGGGCACCGCCTCCCATTGGCTTCGAGAGGAGGATGCAAGCTCCCACGATGTTCATCGGCAGAAGCAGATACCTCGCTCCGTGCGTGTTGCCATAGCCCAAGACAGTGATTTGTGTGGTGCCGGTCTTGGTGGGTGTTGTGAGGATAGAGACCAGCGGCGGTGCCCACACAAACGCCGTGGTTCCGGCGACGAATACTAGGGCGAGAATTGCTTGAGCCATATAGGTTCCAGCATTCTTCAGAGTCTGAGGTGGCAGTTCCGGGAACCAGTCGCCGTTGTCGGCGGCATCCAGAACCCAGTACGACGCTGACAGAAGCAGACCAATGCGGTAGACATAGCCAATCCATGCTGGCCCAAGCCCCTCCCAGGATCGTGTAGGTAAAAGGAAAGACTGGATGATGGAAGGTAAAATGATGGCGACGGCGAAAGGAATGGCCAATTGCCAGGTAGAAGAGGTCGAGGAGGTATCCGAGGCATAGTAGGTCGAGGTACAGTAGGGCATCTGCTCCTCACGGCAGAGTTTGGAGAACGATGCAAGCCTACCAAGAATAACAAACAGAACGGAATGGTATATCGCAAGGGTGCGTTCTCGCATCGTAGGCACGGAGAACGCAGCAAAGATGTTTGCCACGCCAAAGGTCGTGATGAAGAAGAGGAGGATCGAGTCCTCCCAGATGGTGTACGAGTTTGATGCGAAGCCAATGGACTGACTGAGCGTGAAGAGAACCGCGAGCCAGCCCCAAATGTTGTTGGGCAGAAGATTGAGGAGAGTCTTGCCGAAGCCGTAAAGCGAGAACAAGACACCGATCGCGCTGGTGACAGCGCCACCGGCGACGGCGTAGACCAAATCCTCCGGTCCGGTGAAGATGGAGTACCCAGCGCCAGCCAATGCTCCAGGTACGGCGCCGAGAATAGCAGCAAGGAATATCTTCTCGTGAAGACTCTTGTATGACGCTGAGCCATCAGACTGAACGCCCTGAAGCTCCAATTTCTTCTCCGCCAGGTCGAGTTCGAGGTCGTCGAGAACAGCGAAGTCCTCGTCCGCATCACGCGAAGCGTAGACAAGCAGTGTTATTACGCCAACTGCCATGACCACAATACCCGTCACCATCTTGGGTACATCGAAGCGGGCCCACAAGTCCTTGCAGATGCGAAGAGTCTCCTCCTGGAACAAGTTGAAAAAGCCGTAGGACTCCTGGTGGTTCTTCCACTGCCACGAACGGTCGGCCTTCCTCCAGAGGTTCGATACGTGGCCGGCGGTGGCGCTTTTAGACTGATTCATGCCACGGGCAGCGAAGTACGAGTCCTGGTACCGTTGAATACCAGCAGCAGTCAACCGCGATACTGCAGCAAGGTTGTCCCAGGCTTTGCCCTTCTTGCCAGCGAAAGCTTCCTCAATGGGACGTCCCAAATTGTTGTAAGGAATTGGAATGCCCATCAGCAGTGCCAGAGTTGGTACGAGATCGATTTGGTTAACCGGTCTGATCTTGGCCATGCTCGGGGGTTGCTTGAACTCGGGTGTCGTCCGGCCAAAGAAGGGACGCTTCGAGTACATCCATAGAGCTGCCTCGACCTCGTCGTCGCTCTCGCCGCCGTGATCGCCTTTGCTGTCCATGCCATGGTCTCCCATCACGACAAGTAGAGTGTTGTCGTCAATTTGAGCGGCGAGATCACGGATGAAGATGTCCATCTGCTGGAGCTTGGCCGTCATTGCCGCATGGTTTGGTCCATACCGGTGCCCAGCATGGTCGACACCAAGCAGGTGGCCGATGAGAACATCCCATTTGCCCTTCTGCTCCTTCTTGAGGAGAGGAAAGATGTGGTCGATGACACCATTGTCAACCGTGTGCAGATCCCAGACGTTGAAGCTGTCGTAAGCCCTGCTAACATTGGCCTCGAAATAGCCGGGGAATAAAGACATCCAAGTATCGTCGCCAAGGTGTGCTATGCGCTTCCCAGCGTCCTTGAGTTGCATGAGAAGGTTGTCCTCCTCAATTGCGGTGCCAGCGAAGTTGCTGCCAGCATCAATGAAAGTCGGCAGTGTACCAGTAGTCAGGCCCTTCAGCCTCTGCAGGGTAGTCGTTGGCGGGTCGGCGATAAAGGGGCGCAAGAAGGCATGGTCCGGAGACTTGACGGCGGTCTCGTGCAAGAAGGGCAACGCGTTGTGGAAAGGAGCCTGGTCGTCCACGGGGACCGTAAAGTCGTACCGCAGCGCATCGACGATGACGACCACCGCCTTGTCGAACGACTTTGGGTGCCAGCAGCCGCCCTGGACCGTGCCTTGGCCCTTCCAGCTCGACGAGAGCTCGAGCGGAGGCGTCGTACAGTTGGATTTCTCGTCGAGGACCAGTCGCGTCAGGAGGAAGCCGCTGGTGAAGAAGGCGATGCCAATGGCATGGAGACAGAGCATCCACGCCCAGAAGGCGACGGTCCACCACCATCTACGCTCGTAGGCATCCTTGCGCCGAGTCTCAAACACCTCGCGCTGCTTCTCAAGAAGTATCGACCGCTCCTTATCAGCCTTGGTCACCTCGGGGGATCTGCTGGCCTCCTCAATTTCCTTTTGGCGCTTCGCTTTGGCGAATTGCTCGGCGATGGCTTTGTAGTCGGCTGGGGGCGGACCCTTCGGCCGAGGGGATTTCTGAGGCATTGTGTCTTATCTTGGCTGGTTGGGTGTTTAAAAAGAAGGAGAAAAAGAAAGATATGAAAAATTAAGGCTGGCACTCGATGGCCATTGGGGTAGAGGAAGCTATCAAGCCCCTGTTCTGGAGTCGTGTTCGTGTAGTGTGGCTGCTTTGCAGATCGCAGCGTGTAAAAGAGATGGTTTCGCCTGGCAAAAGGAGCTCAAATTTGGAAGTCCACCAAGTTCCGGCAGCTGCCGCAGCGGCGCGAGCCCAGCTTTGGTGGGGCAGACGAACGCGATTCAGGTGCCAAGGATCCTGCCCTGCACCTTTTGGAGCCGGCAACCGCTGGACCACTGACAAAGCTCTTTTTTGGAAGGGCATGTCATCACCGATGTGGGACAAATACAATGTGCCGAGACATGCTTCCTACAGCTTCTGCATTTCAGAGACGACTACGGATAGGTCGATTCATTTAAGTGAACTTTTTATGTTCCACGACTACTGCGTAGTACGTCATCCCAATACTGTACTTCAAGACCTCACGAAACCTCAACACGGGGCCTAATACCCACGAAGCAGTGGCGTCCACTGTCAATCTCTTCCATTGGCCAAGACGATGCATTTGTTTTAGCAACAGCTCCAACACACACGCTTATTCCGCCGTAAGTTCGGTACTGAAGAACTTGCGAGCCGGGATCTTGCGCTTGAAAAGCTCGTCCATCTCAGCCTGCGTTCTGTCTCGCACCTCGGGCAGACAGAAGTAGGCCCAAACAAGAAAGACGGCATTGATACCAGCGTAAACTAGCGCCGTGCAAGGTCCCAGACCCCATCCGTTAGGAGCGTTCTCCAACATCCTGGGTAAAAGCCACATGTTGAATTGCCCGGCGATGAGGTAGGCTACTCGGCCGATGACAAGCGTCTTGGCTTTTTGTCGGGTCGAAGGGATCTCGGGGTTGATAGCGTACACAAGGGGTCCAATGGAAAGATTATAGACTCCTGTGAAGATCACGAGCATCACCGCGATGACCCAAGGAACTGCCGAGTTCGCGTCGCTATAGAAACCCAGCACGCCGACACCTGTCATGAGAATGACGGAGCCCATCAGTCCCCAAAGCCAGATAGTTCTGCGTCCGATGTAGTTCATCAGGGGCCACGATGAGACGATGCAGATTATGCCGATTGCGTACTGGATCAGCGTAAAGTCGTACGATTTGGAGCTGCTCATGCCCGCCTTCTGGTATAGCTTGGCTGAGTAGAACATGAGCGCTGAACCGCAGAGCTGTTGCGTCAAGTTCATCGTGACGACGATCATGGTACGACGAAGGTTGGCGCCGCGGAAGCACTCGAGGTACGTGATATGAGACTCTTTCCTGCTGTTCTTCTCCTGCTCGTTGGTGAGCTCGAGGACCTTGACCTGACCGTCAACTGGATAAGTCGGATCCTTGTTGAGTCTTGCCAGAGAGTTGCGTGCAAGGTCAAAACGAGACTGGCGCATGAGCCACCAAGGTGATTCTGGAGCAAGGAAGACGCAGAGGAGAACAGGAAGGGGCCATATCCATTGAATGCCGACGGGGACGCGGTATGCCGTGATATCGTTGGATTTGATGTTCGCAACACCCTTGATTGCTGCTGTCGAGAAGAGCTGTCCGAAAATCCAGCACATGGAGACGAAGGTGGTGAGGGTCGGACGAAGCTTGAGGGGCGAGATATCTGAAGCGTAGGGTAGAACGCAGGCCTGGAAGGCTCCCCAAGGCAGTCCCAGAAGGAACTCGCCGGCAAAGATCATGCCGAGACCAGCCTGATAGCCTCCCGCGGACAAGACCGCCGGCGCGAAGAAGTTGACGAGGAGCAGTACCATGATCGATCCGAGGGAGAACATCATCGTCTTTCGGTAGCCGAACTTGTCCATGGACAGACCGGCAAAGTACATTGCTGCGACTTGGCCAGCCTGACTTGAAGTAAGGATCAAGGACTGCCAGAGTGTTGGGATCTCCTTGACGGTGCCCCCTTCCGGAGCGTAACCGAAGAGGTTCTGGAACTGATCCAGGGAGAAAAAGTTGCCCATGAGAGCGAGGTCGTAACCCTCGCCGACAATGGTCATCGCGAAGAAGATGGACCATTTGACCGCGGGTAGATACTTCCTGACGGTCTGCATGTAATTGTGATGCTCCTCATAGTCTCTGGCAGCCTTGGCCACCGGGTTGGAGGCAACCGTGTCGGGGATGTCTTTTTCCTGTACAGAGGACATGGGTTTATCTTGTAGAGAAGACATGGTGAAATGGATCATCAATGGAATACTGGTGAAGCTGTAGTTGTAAGCATGGAGCAGAAGAAATGCTCGATCCAGATTGTGTCGAACGAAGCAGCAATGTCTGGATTAAGGACAAATTCGAGGAGATGGATGTCTTTGCAAGACGGCCGACGAGGAAAAGAGGAGACAGATGGAACGCAGCAGGCGTCTATCAACCTCAGTGGCCACTGCCACTTGAGGTTGAAGTGGTCCATGGCATGAGGGGTGGAGGGTTCTTTCTCCATGGCACGAAAGGAGGAAGCCTTCGTGGCGCGACCATTGCTATGGCAAACTCTAAATAGGGCGACCACGACTTGTGATGCCCATGAGAAGGCGCCATATGCATTGAGACCCGGATAGCTTCAACCGGGCCCCCAGATTGCGCAGATCATGCGCCCAAAGGGAAATCCCCAGGCGGGGTCAGCGATATCCCCATGGGGTTCCCGTCTTTTGATCACGGTTTCTTCGGCCTCCGAACTTCTCAGTTGACAGGACACAGACCTAGGTACCACAGTTTCAAAGTATTGGTCGTTTCCACCTCCCCACAATGGGACCGACTGCGATCAGGTTGCATTAACTAGCACGGGGATAACGCATCAATCAATACCATAGGCGCCTTCTTTGAAATGGGAATAGAGCCGGGATGCCTATTGAAGGTTTGTTTTGTTCTTGTAGTCTATTTATCCGTGGACATACTTGTCAACTTTGCCACAGCCTGGAAAAGGTAACAGCTTCCTGCCAAATCGCTGGACATTCTTCATCGTCTTGAATCGCCGCTTCGGTGCCTCGAACTGTAATATTCCCGATCTCTGTCCCTGTCCCTATCACGGTGCCCATGCCCATACCTATCCCGATCTCGCTCCCTGTCACGCTCACGATCCCTCTCGTCTCTGAAGCTCTCGCCCCTCCGTTCCTTGCGCTCGCTGCGCCTCTTCTCCTCTTCGCGGCGGTACTCGTCCAACCTCGGCCGGCTGCTCTTCTTCTTGCCGCCATGGTTCCACTGTCCCAAGTCCTCCGCGCCCTCCAGCTTCTTGGCGCCAAGGCCGAGCTGGTTCTGGCGCCTCTCGGTGGGCTGTTTCTTCTTGGGCCCGCGCATCTTCCCGTCCCAGCCCATGCCGCGCAGTAGCGCGGCGCCAAACTCGCCGTCCGGTATCGCCTCGTAGTCTGCGAGCGTCGCGTCTTCGCCCACATGCTTGATGTCGGACAGATAGGCATCCTGCTCCGTGGCTTGGATGACAATGTCTTCTTCTTCCTGGCGCTTCTTCCCCAGTAAGGCGTCCATGGCGTCTTGGTCTGCGGTGCGAGGAGCCCTTTTCTCCACTGGGGAATCTTCGTCCTGAACGTCGTCTGCTGCTTCACCCTGTTCTATTGGTGCGTCGCCCTCTTCGCTCGTCTTGCGCTTTTTGACGGTCAAACCCCATTGTATATGTTTATCCGCGTCGGCAGGTTCTCGCTCCGGCTCTTGCTGCGCACCGCTCTGTTGTTGCTGTTGTTGTTCTTGTCGCTGCGCCTGCACCTCGGCAGGCAGCAGATTCTTGCCTCCTCTGCGTCCGCGCAACTCCGCCTTCCAGTCTCGGTTGTTTTGCTTCTCAATCACGAGTTCGCGAGGCTTCTTCTCCCTTATCCGATTAGAGTCCCCGCCGATTTCTGTGATCGCTTCGTGTCTTCCGCGGCCATGATCGCGCTCGCCGTCCGAGTCCGAATCGAAGTTGTTTAGCGCATTCGTCCGCGACCGCTTGCCTAGTGACGATGGTGGGGTTGGACGTGAAGGGTTCTTGTTGTTTTTTGAGCTCGAGGAGCCGCTGAAGCTGATCGCTATCCTGGGGGCTTTGGACCCGTCTGGCATGGTGCTGGCAGCGATGCGGGTGAGTTTGGTAGTTCGTTTTGAAGAGGCAGATATTTGGCGGTCGTGAAAGGCTGGTTAACAGAAAGCAGTGGTCGGGTCACTTTGCGACGTCAACATGCAGGGATCAGGATCTCAGAGCCTTACATAAGGTGGGGCACGTTGTCTATACGGCAAAGCTCAATCGCAACACAGCTATCCGAATGCAGAAGCTCTTATCTACAGAACCCAACACCTTTAACCTGGAAATGCATCTTTGTCGACTTCCTCTATTGCCCATCAACATGCAACAAGCCGCTCCCTCAACGCAATTTTATTGTGGTGTTTATGCAGAGTCCCCCAAGCTTTAAAAAGCAAAGATTTGGTCCTCGAGCTTGCTCACAGGGCGGGCCTTCTTGAAGCCAAGGCTCTCGGCCGTCTTCTTCAGTCCGCTAATCATGGGCGGGGGGCCGCAAAGCAGAAGCTTGACGTCGTCAGCTGCCTTGGGAAGAAGCTTCTGTAGTATCTGTCAGCTCTGTACCGGGTACGCCATCTACTAGGGAGCCTTACGGTAATCATGTCGCCCGTGACGTAACCGACACCACCGGTCCAGCCCGCAGGGGGCTTGTCAAGAACGTAGTGCACGCGGAAACCGCTGTCTTCCTTGGCGAGGGCGTCCAGGTCCTCTTTCAACAGGATGTCCTGGGGGGTGACGTTGGCGAAGATAAGGTCGATTTCAGTCTTGTCACCGGTGGGGCGGCCGCGGATGACGGCGCGGACGATCTGAAGCATGGGAGTGATACCAGTGCCGCCTGCAATCATGCCAAAGTGACGGACCATGTTCGGGGTGTAAACGAAAGCACCCTTGGGACCCCTGACCTTGAGCGTCTGTCCGACCTTCATCGACGCCATGTACTTGGAGATGTTGCCGGTAGGGTAGGACTTGATCAGGAGGTCGAAGTGGCCAGGCTGGTGGTCGCCGGAAATGGGAGTGTAGGAGCGCACGATCTCCTTGGTAGTGCCATCAGGCTGGGGGCAGTTGGCACCAATGGAGATGTGCTGTCCGATAGGGAGGCCAAGGATGCTCTTCTCGCTGGGGAGGTTGAACCGGTAGCTTCGGAACTTATCAGCTGGAGTGCCGGGCTTAACGCCTGAGGTACGACTTACATGGCAACATTATGCGAGATGATAGTCTTTTCCTTGAGCTCAAAGTCCTGAAAGGTATCGGGCTTCAGGACTGTCTTGATCTCTGCGTGAAAGGTTCGTCAGTGAGCAATCCCGAGGGGTTCCGAGAGGGGCCGAACTCACGCATGGCATTGAACTTGTACGCTGCCAGCGCAAGCGCCAGGGCAACAGCGTACGGCGTCCATTCGCGCTTGGTGATGAAGCATCCGAACACGATCAGACCAGCGGGAATGTAGATGTTGTCAAAGTACCTGCGAGAAGCCAAAGAGTCGGCCATTTTGAAGACGATGCGCGAGGCTCTTCTCCACAGAAAGCGGGATATGGTATAGCTGGAGCTTGGTAGCTCTCGTTCCGAGTTTGAAGAAATCTGGAGATTGCCAAAACAGGTCAGTCATTGTGACGAGCATTGTGGGAAAACAATGGACTCACTAAAACAACCGCGAGCTTGAGGGAAAGCTGTCGCAGTCAATTGGTGACGGTTGACAATTCAAGTCGGAAATGCGAGCGTGCAATCATATATCGTAGGAGCAGGTCGCGCAAGTGGGACAGCCCCTCCAATTTTCTGTTGAGATGCCGAGTTTCTGCCAGACCTCGAACGGCGAGCGGTCAGGTGCAGCGATGCGGTTGCGGGAACGTGACTGCGAGCCCAATCCAGCAAAATAATCCGACGGCAGATGCAGCAAGGTCCCGAAGGTCCCGACCTCAGGCTCGGTTTGCTGGGTCGGTTAGTCGGTTCTACGCTTTCCCGTGGCTTAAGCAACGTGTAGCAGTACTTGTGGCTGAAAACATGTCTCATGTCTTCAGCCACAACGCCACAGCTCGTTAATGTGACGCCTTGAAGATGCGCGTGCTGCTAGAGATCAACGTGTTGTTCAAACCAGCTGATCACTGTTGCAACATCATGCCGACGGACGAATGATCGGCTTCATTCTCAATTTCTATCGACTGTAAGGCATACGCAGGGTCAGTTCAGAGTCCCAATTGCCGCTGAACGATAAGGCCGCCTCACATGATCGCGTCTCGATGCTTGCTAGGAGCTTTCGGCAACTTCGGGACGCTGTCACCAACAGCCACCGAGATTCATTTTAATGAAGAAGGGAGACCGGTTCCTGAGCAGCGCACCATTCGCGGGAATTTGCACAGCTACAGCTACTAGTCGGTTCAATGCGCTTTTAGGCTGCGTCGATCCGGTCTGTTCGGACATGCGATTACTGTTAAAAAGAAAGAGAAATAAAAGGTCCGCCTGCTGCTAGTCGTCCTGACAGCGCGCGACTACGTTATCTGCGTTGGATTTGACAGATGAAGCAAATTGCAGACATCGGGAAAGATGACATCACCACAGCTGGCGGCAGCGTGGCACTGAGACGGAGGATGGAATGAAGCACTAGCGGTGTGACAGGTATCTCCTTTGGCGACCGTGTACGGATGTACCTCCCGACTAGGAACAATCTGGAATGCTGTCTACAGGCGTTGGCCGTGGGTTAGTGAGGGGAAATTCCGGGGGGATTTGTGATCGGCCGGAAGCAATCCAAACATTTGGACCTCTGTCGCACAGTCGGGAAGTGGGATTCTTGGCCTTACCAATGCATCACGATAACGCGTCCTTCCGCAGATGCAATCCTTTTTTTTTCCTTTTTTTTTTTTTCCTTTTTTTTTTTTTTTTCCCCGCGGGGGGGGCCCGGGGGGCGCGGGTTTTTGTGCGTTTGTGTTGCAGCGGTGGTGGGTGGTTTTGCGTGGTTGTTGTTGTTTTTTTTTTGTTTTTTTTTTTTTCCTTTTTTTTTTTTTTTTCCTTCGTGGATGGGCCCTGGATGCAGGATGTCGATTTGCAATCTTCACGACATTTTTGCGTTATCTGTAGCGTCCTACGGAGCTACAGAGAGGCGTAGGATGAAGAACTGGGTCTTGGGCCGATGGCCGTGGTTGGAAAGTGAGACGGGCCGGACTGTCGAGCGGGTGCCGGCCGTCCCCGCTTTTGGCGCTAAGTCGCCCCAGGCACCCGTCGTACTGCACTCGGGAGGTCCGTGCCAGGTGGCTCAAAGCCTCAGAGGGCAGGAAAACGTACCTCCGTATTGCGGTGCTGCGCTTGTGTCACGACTCGCTCGTGACCCAAGGAAATTGAGTGAGAGAGGAAGAGCGAGTGTGCGTCGCGTGTTATCCCATACCTGAGAGACGACGATGCCGCACATACTATGGTATCTGAATTGCGGCCGAAGCAAGGATATATACAATGTGACTGGATATGCGCCCGTGTCCAGGGCAACTGGACCTGCACAATTCCGGCTCATTTCCAGAAAATACGGATACTGGGAAGATGCGTTCGTTCACTCATTTGTCGAGCCTTGGCCCAGCCGCCCAGGACTGACGATGGATTTGCGGTTCGATGATGGGATTGCGCTCGCGAGTGGCGCATAGATTGTGCGGCAGTGGCTTGCCGATGGTTCCCATTCCCACAAATGCATACACCGAGAGAGCTTGAGGAGGTGCCAAGCGTGCCACGGTGCCAACCAAAAAAAAAAAAAAAAAGAGCCTCCAAAGGAAAGCCCCTGTCCTGACGGCGATCAGAGACAATTCGCAATCTTGACAAGTTGGCCCCCCCTAGCCCGCATCAAGCCCGGTTGTTCCTTGATGTGCCCCCCAAATGACCCCCCCCCCCCCAAATTTGGCCGGCGCGGGCTGGTTTCACAATTTTCGCAACCATGAGAGTGCCAGAGTCGTTCAGACGATCGCGTTGCTGCCGAGCGAGCGTCCCATGGGGGTTGGCACCTGGAAATTTCGGGATGCTTTTATCTTCAAGGGGGGCCCGGGCGGAAATGTCTGACTTTCCATAGGCTAGAGCAGTACTTCGTGGCACGCGTCTGAAGACCGTTCCCTCATCGTCGCTACTTCATCTGAAACCGGCCGCATGGCATGATGGCATCCCTGAGATTGACGCCGTCGGTTGGTCATCTACGTACTGATAACCATTAGGTCCAACAAACCACCGCAATGGCGTTTTCGGGTCGATGGGCCGACAGATTGTCATTTCGTTCGTGCTCGCTCTTGGTAATAAGGTGGCGGGAGCGGCATGGCGGCTCGAGTCTTGAATCCTTTGCGGTATCCGTACGCGCAAAATAAAAGTCCTGGGTGAAGCGCCCAGCACGTATGTATTCGTAGGGAGAGCACTTCCACAGTCGTGGACAAAGTCACAAATGAAGGATCCCAAGACCACCTCCCCCCTCGTATCCGTATAAAACGGGGCTGACCAGGCCAGGGGACTGACAATGAGCGTGGTATTTGACATGTATAATCCTCTTGCTTCATTTACCTTCCTCCTTCTAGAAACAAAAGTCTATTCAGAGAACACGAGAAAGGGGAAACCCTTACTCTGTAGGACAATGCAGTTTGACAATACGCGTACCAGAGGATTACTGACTGGGCACTGAGGAATCATTTCGGCGTGGAAAGAAGCCGCGGCCGGGAACGAGGCGGTCGAAGCAAAAGGAGGGAAATTTGAAGCAATCTTGAGATATTTCAAGTTGCCGGGGCGCCCCCAATAAGCTGAGTATTGAAAGTGGCTTGAAACGACCCTTACTCTCGGCCTGACCGGCTCTAGCGCCGTCTCCACGGCGAGGAGAGGAGCCTTTTTCAGAAAAGAAAGTTTGAGAAAGTTGAGGAAAAAAAAGAAGGGAAAAGGGAAGAGGAGGCACGAGGGAATCACAGCTAGGTCGGTAGGCATCAGGCAAATCAATCGGCGATCATGATTAGAGAACCCTACCGGAGGACCCTGGACGACCGGGCCCCCCAAGAGCGAAGGCGAGAAGACAGGCATGGCTTGGCAATCGGTGTTGGCGACTGAACATGCCAACGGAGGAGCCATTTAGAGTGACTGAAAGGTAACCCGCATCCATCTTCGTGGGCTTCAGTAACCCTTCGATGGCAGTCAAGGGTGCGCGGCATCTACGGAGTCGGCCATCTGCGGCTACCGCAGCAGTGGAAAATCTCGTGATATTTGTTCCACGTCCACGAAGACACCTGGATAGCACATAATGCACATTACGCTATCAGACGTAAGTCCTGGGTCCTGGGCGCCACTACTCACGATAGCCCACCGTAGCTGAGCAAATATTGAAGATAAGCGGACAGGCTGCACATACAGTTCGTAGTGCACCACGCTCGCAGTATGTAGGCGTTGACGTGCTGGAGTTGCACCGACATTCTGCGCACGCAGCCGCCGTCGATGTACTGGCAGGGTAAGGTAGCAATAGCATCCCAGGTTGCTGGTCACTGGTGCGCGCGGCGGGCTTGTGAATGCAGAGCACATTTTTTTGTGTGGATTTGGGCGGGCTGAGACTTGGGACTCTGGGGGTGAGTGGCACTCGGAGACGGCGCCGCAAGCTGCATCTGCCTGCCGGCCTCACGGCACGTAACTGAGGCGAGGAGGCACAGCAACAGGGGACCACTGGACCACTGGTACGCCCTACGCAGCAGGGGCGGCGAGTGAGGAGAGGAGGGGACTAGGAGTGCCGTGGAGTGCCGTACGGATGCGCCATGCGTGCCGCAATTCCATGGTAAAAATGCACGAGAAGGACGAGATACTCGCAGTTTCCGGCGGCCTCGTCATTCTGCTTCTGGTGATACCGACAGGGTGTACGAAGTAGAACACATGGCCCACCCCTCCCTCGCCTTGGCACGCTGCGAGCTATAGACCCATGGCACCATGATCCACGTAAAACGTGCATAATGAGGTGGATAAGTGTGGACTTGTGTGTATGTTTCGAAGCCCGTGCGTGGATGTTCGTGGATATGCTGATGCTGTATCTGAAGTTTTGTTTCCCGACATCTCTCTCGTCTCTCTCTCTCTCTCTCTTCCCCTCCCTCCAGTGCTTTGTTTTGTGTGTTTTGTCTGTACATCAAACAGCGGCTGAGTGAGCTCCATCAACTTTGTTTTCAGCTGCCAGGAGTGGGCAGAACAGCGTACCCATGTCGAGATGAGGCATTGCATCTTGGTCCGGAAGGTAGAAGTGACTGTAGTGTATCTGTATACCTAGAGCATCCGTAGATAGGTAGAAATGCAAAGAAAATTGTACAGATGCAATCGGTGCCTTCCTTGTCAGCTTCCGGGGTTGCATGGGAAAAGGGCCGCACACAGCAAAACCCCACTGCAGGGCCAAGACTGCCCGCTGCGAGAAACGCCTCCCGTAAGGTAGGTAGGTACCTTAGGTGACGCGCCCTGCGTCTCCCTAGCTGTTTCCCATCGTCTTTGCAAGCAACTGCCTCGCCGACCACTGACCAGCAGCAGAAACCCCGCGCATGTCTCATTGGGCGACGCTTCCGGGGGCCAAAAACAGGATGGGCATCGATAACATCATAAGGTAGCTGCATCAAGCTTGGCCTACCGGCCTGCCTTTCGCCTTTCCCCTATGGATCCACGACGTACATGGCACTCCCAGCACTGGCCTCTCTCCCCGCCCCGTCTCTCTCCCATCTCTCAGCTTCCTCTCGCGTCTCCAAACCTCCCAGTGAATAAACAAGTAGGTACGGGTACCTAGGTGGCCATTCGTATCCGCGCCTCCCCCCACCCTTTCCCCCCAATTCCGATTCCTCTCACCTTACCTAGGTAGGCTGTCCGCTGTCTTCTCTTCGCCATGAACACCACCTTTCTTAGTCCCTGCCCTGGTGATTTTTATCCAACATGTTATCCCAAACCCGTCATTCTCATACATACCTGCCTGACCGAACCGACCCTATCCTGATGCGCTCTCTTGTTCTACCACTACTCACCTCACCCTCGCCTTGAATCCGGCTGATATACACGTGCCTCCTCGCCCGACCGTTCACATATTATCCCATCTTATCGTCCCCTTGCCCGACTCGTACCTGATCTGACCGCACCTGGCCCGACTCGTGCTGCCTTGTCTCTCCCAGCGGCCAGGATCAGGTCTCTTCTTCCAAGACTCGGGACATCCATCCGCATCCACCCACCCCAATCGTCCGAATTGCACCCCTCGGTCGTTGCTACCACGCTACTGCCGTCTGCCTCCAGTCTTCCCTTACCCTTCCCAGCAAGGTTCTTGGTTCTTGTCGGAGGCTTGCTGCACTCCGGTCCTTTCTCTAAACAGCTGTTCCCTGCTCCCGGAACCTCGAGGCACCTCTCCTTCTCCAGCGACGGGATAAGACCGTCACTTATTAACACCCCTCCGCCATCCGCCTCTTTGTGCACACGCTTTCTGACCCCCTCTTGTTTTGAGACCTGCTCTACCCTCTCACACCTTCAACTTCTGTCATCTCGAACCTTCGAACTCTGCATCGTTGTCTCGTCGACGGAGATACATCGCGCTTTTTCCTCCCGCCCATCTCTTTTTTCACCTTCACACCGAGTGTAAACAGCGCCATCACCACAGTATTTAATTGACCTCGACGACGTGCCTGTGGAAAACGTTACATGGCCCAATAATCGATTACTCGACCTTGACGGCCTCGAAGGCCCGAGTAGGCCGAGGCATTCCTACGACGACGGAATAGGCTGGGCTTGGACCCCCGATTACTGCACGTCAACTCTGTCGACCATGGACGCTGCCGCGAACCGAAGGTCAATGCTGCCCGTCATTCAGACGACAGATCATGGAGAGCCGCACAGCACAAGCAAAAGCCCGGCGGCAGAGCTCCGCAGCGTCTCGACACCGGCTTTGGGCGGCAAGAAGCGTAGTTTCTTAGCAAAGACCTTCAGGAAGGTCAGCAGCAGTTCGTCGTCGACCGACGTCGCCTCCATGTCTGAGGAAGCCTCGAGTGGCCTCCATATGAAGAGTAAACGGGTCCTTCACAAGAACAACGGATCCGGCGGCTCCAATTCCTCCTCCATTTTCTATCGCCTCAACCGTCGAGCTTCCAAGGACTCTTCCGCGAGCTCGCACATGTCCGAGGAAACACCCAACTATCTCAGCCCTCAGCCGCCAGCGCCTACCCCTATCAAGATTCTCAAACATGGAGCCTTGAAGACTGATAGTCGTTTGTGGAAATCGCGATCCGAATATGTCGTCTTAACTGATGGGCACCTCATCAAATTCAGCAGTGTCGAGGCAGCGAGGGCGACCTTTGCCGAACTGGCACCGCCGTCTCAGCGCCTAAAGAGATCGTCGACGTCTTCCTCTTTAAGTCAGGATGGGACGCACTCTGATGGTCGGGTTGAAATCCCACTGAGTAGGATCGTCAACATCTTCAACGAAGAGGGTGTGAGCCCTCACTTTGGGCTGGATGTCTGGTGGTCCGAGATTGCGCCAATGGTATCTTGGGCTTGCACAAAACTATTCTTTGGAATGCCTACTGAGCGCGACGATTGGATGTCGGAGATTCGCCATGCTATTCGTGAGTCTGTCGGCTCAACCGTTGTGCCAAAGGGACTCGTCGCCCCCAATGTCGAATCCGCCATTTACGCCATCGTTGCTACACAAGAGCCAGCATGCCATGGCTGCCCATTGGATATCTTCCCAGTCGTCCAACGCACCACCCTCCTCAGTACCAAAGCCGAGAACATTGAAAATGCCAAAAAGTCTCGAGACGGATCATCGTATTACTTACTTCTCGGCCAGAACAAATGCTATCTTGTGCGAGTTGCAAGGACTTCCGTGTACAAAGCTCCGCAGGATATCGAGATCAACACTGTAGTCTTTGGCTTGACATCGTTGGTTCGGTTGAAAGCGACCATGGTTCCGCACGAGGAGCGGTTCGTTCTTGGATTCCGGTACGTGTTTGATGTGTTTACGGCTCAGGACAGTACCACTAACCCCCTGTCCAAGACTGCCTTGTGAGAATGAGAAACGCCTCGAGCTTGCTAGTCGGTGGTACAGAGAGATCGTTATGACATTTATGAAGGCAGATCGCGCTGTGAAGCCTGCTTGGCCTCAGCATATGCAAAGACACATCTTCGACATCAGGGGTCTCACGGCTCAATTACTTCTTCCCACTGGTCAAGACTATGGCGGACTTAAGCGCACCCTTGAGGCGTATTGCGCCACGTTCCAGTGCAAGCCTCCCGAATGGACTGTGAATTGGAAGTGCGAACGCCGAGAACACTGCCCAGAATTTCGACTCCTCCCTGCGAAGGAAACAGGTGGATATTCGGCACTCCAGCTTTTGGCTGTCTTCAAGGCCCTCCGCTTCAACGACTACTTCAAGGCTCTATCGTTCCGTGACGTTGACTTCTCGCCACTCTGTGGTTTGACCGATGTTCCGGGCTGGGATGAGTCCGTGGCCGACGTTTCTCGCGATGGTAAGTCGATGACCGCTCTTAGTTCTCGAAGCATTTAAGCTGATCGTCGTAGGACTTGTCATTGATCCCGTGCATCGAGATATTATCAAGACTGCACCATTGTTATCCCAGGAAATCCATGCGGTCGCCTTCACCTCTGGTTCTATCCGTAAGATAGACTTGACCAACGTCCTGGCATCGCGCAACATTGTCGGTGTTTCACGCGCTCGTGCAGGGACCAAGAAGGATCCTGAGGTCGTTCGCCCTATTCTTCTGCTCCTTAAAACTCGCAGTACTCCTTGTGATACTCTGCTTGTTAGCGGTAACCCTCTGACGGCGGCTGAAGTTGACGATCTAGGTGAGTGGACTTGACGGGTTCCCATATTTCACGCAGCTGATGATATCCAGTGGGCGTCCTCCAAATTCCTGATCTTTTCAAGGAGCTTGATATCTCTAGATGCAATCTTGATGAGAGAAGCTTAGAGGAAGTCTGGGATGCTTTACCCTCCCAGGGATACAAGATGGAAGCTCTCAACACCTCACGCAACATTGGACATGTGGACCATATGGCCGTTAAGCAGAATCTATCTCATTTTTTCTGTCTACGAAAGCTCGGCATCGCCGGAAACTGTCTCACTCAGGCCAAGGACACGATCTTCTTCAACGAAACCATCATGGGATGGGGTCTTGAGGAATTGGATCTCTCAAACATCAACGTAAGTCAATTCAACATGGCCTTTATTCAGTTACTAATCTTATCCTAGCTCAATGACGCCACATTGCAAGTCCTCGCAGAATACTTGAAATCTTCAGAAGCCAACGGTCTTCGCAGGCTTGACCTCAACAATTGTGCCATGACTGGTTCCCAAATCGCCGCCCTATTCCGTAGCATGGGTGAAGGAAGAGTGATGACTTGCTCTGTCAGCGGCAACTACCTCGAGAAAGGCACGGAAGATTTGGCGTCTGCTATTGTCGAAAACTTTGGGCCGACTTCTCTCTTCATGGACATGGTCGAGTTCCAAAATGAAGATAACTACATCAAGCTCATCAAAGCGCTATCGCTCAACCGTACAATTCGGCTGCTGAGTCTGGTAGGAACATCGACTCCTGGGCAAGTCAGTGAGGACGCCTCTATGGCCGTCTCAGAGTTCTTTGCCACAAATGAGTCGGTTCAGTACCTCGACTTCTCAGGGTTTTCCGCCAAGCTCGATGAGGGTCAACTCGGTCTTGGTTTTTCGCGGTCCCTCTCTGGACTCGCTGAGAACACGACATTGCGTCACTTGCGAATCCGGAACCAAAAGCTGAACTTGAACATTGGCGATCTGGCACACGCGATCCATCTCAACCAGACCCTTACAACGCTTGATGTACAGGAGAACAACTTCAATCTGTCCAACTTGTCCCACATGGTCAGATCTCTTGACCACAACAGCTCTATTCAGGAGTTTTGCCCCTTTTCTCGGACTGAGCTCAGTCGGGCCATCAAGTCAAGCGTCCAAAACGTCGGTATGCCAACGAGCCAGCCCACCTCATCCCGAGCCCGCCGCGCATCCAAAGTCCTTACGAAGGCCACATTCGACAACTTTGCAATGGAGATGGACAAGAACAACGCTCTCATGGAAAACTTGAAGGATGAGTGGAGCGTCAAGACGGCTCAGATCGAACATCTTCTTGAGAGAAACCGGACCTTGACTCTTGAAAAAGAGATGGCACGTATGCAGTGGGATCCTCAGGAGGAAGGCCAGGAGGACTGGATCGCCCTCGAGCTCGGCAGCGTTTTTGGGGGTCTTGCTGTCAAGGCCATGAGGACCCGACGCAAGATTATGCAGCCTGGCTACCGTGGCAGTGTCTACTTTGGCGCAAGCACTCCGCCTCTGGAGGGAATGGAAGAGTTCGGGGCCCTGGCACCTCCCCACCATGTCACTCGTGAGGAAGTCATGGAAAGCCCCGCCACAGAGGTCGCCAGCGGTTCATCCGGCCTTCCGACACCTCCTGAATGGGCGCCCACGGAGAGCCCTGTCAAAGAGTACTCTATTGCGTCCAGCGCTCCACCGTCTCGCGATGCACCTCGCATCGTGGATGAGAACGCGGACGAGTTCGACCTTTCTCTTCTGAAACATATGATACAACATGGATTCAACCTCGACGAATCGACGCAGGACCGGTCCCAGGACGTTGGCAGGAAAGCGGGGTCCTCAGTGTCGACCACGAGACTCGAATGAATCAACATACAACCGAAACGAAGTACAAAAATATTGCAAAAGAAGAAACGAAAGAGAAGCGAAACGAAAAAAAATATCAAAGTCTCCACATTATGTGTGTCCCCTCCCACACACTCTCCCACGTTTACCAAATCATTAGACACTAGCGACGGCAACATCATTTTTTGCTTTTTTAGTGTTTAATCAGGCGTTCACAGAAGGCAGGAATAGGTATTTTCTCGGGATACCGCGCGGGATTGATACCCAGACTCGCAGGAAAGCTCTCGTAGTAGTATTGGATTCTATTGCGTGAGCACGTTTGGCTTAGTGTTTTTGGCGTTTGAGGTTCCCTCACTCAGCATACTGTTTTGTATTTTGCCCAATGTAGGAATACTATCAGAGGATGGAGTCTGCTTTGTTGGGAGGGTAGTCAGTTTCTCACCGATAATATATAATTGTGAGATTATTCAACATGAGTTGATAAAGTCTACCTTCTTCCATGAGGACGTTGATAGGTGAATCCAATATCGGTGGATTGAGGCCCCTCGACTTCCATGTCCACCTGCTTGGCTCTCATGTGAACTTATCGATAGTTTGCCTATCTCTTAGTCTCCTGTCGGCGTGTGCTGCTGCCATATCACCGCACTAAGTCAGGCTATGTATGCGGGCATGTCTTCTGAAGTAGGGATTAGTGAGCTCAGAGAATTTGATCACACGTGTCATTGGCCTCGTCCATCGGCGGCTTGTTCTGAGAGTAGCAAAATATCGATGTCTGAATTCGGCGATAGACTACTCCGACAGATTTTGTCGTGTGAGCTAGATCACATGTATCGGCCGGTACCGCAGGAGAACCCAGCACCGGTCAAATTACCTCCAGTAATATTAGGTACTCACGCTAACTGGCCTATGCGTCACATCTATGGTTTGAGAAATGTTTGGGCAGCCCTATGCTGGCGATTGGAAGAGATGGCGCAGGTAGTTGATCTCAGCACTTGGCACTGTAGCGTATCCGTATGCGTTGTCTACCCCGGATTTCGGGCCGCTGCATCCGGAGCCCATCCGGAGCCGGATGTCGTTGGTCAATGGACGGCGGTGCGGGGGTTGCCGCATATTCGGTTCGGGTCGAAAGTTGTCAGGATTCAATAAGGGCACAGCGTCATACTCCGTAGAGGCTGAGAGGTTTCACTTCAGAAATACCCACCTGAATTTCCTGCAATCCCTGCCTGTACGCTGCGCGTAGGCGGCTTGTGTTTGCCGATGCATTGGACGCTTGCTGCCATCTCCCTGTTTTGCGCGGACCGACGTGTCGAAACTCTGACGCTGCAGATGTGGGGGGGGCCGACGCGAAGAGGGAGAACAAATTATGGGGCAGAAGCTGTGGCTGTTCAGGTACTTGTCTGGTTGGCGTGAATACCGTATTGTTCTAGAGCTACGGAATACGGGAAGTTGGAATGTGGCAGTGCACGCTGAACAGTACACAGTAAAATAGACGCTGTGTTTTGGGTGGTGCTACCATCGACGACTTCGAACAAGAGACTAAACGTCACAGGCGTGCGAAGCTTCGATGCGTTTAACGAGGACCGAGCGTACCTTTAAGCGAATAGAAGTAAGGCGCGATGGTGGCACGTTGGGTTCATCGTGCCGACTCGAACTGAGACACCTTGCAACTACCTACGATTTTTCCAAGTACTTACCACCTCAACGCAATATGATAAACATTTCGGAAAAGTAAAGACATTCACAAGTCGTCAAAAGTTCCAACCCAGACTCGGAAATGGGCACGACGGTCCAGGCGTGCTTTGAGAAGCTTAAACGCCAGAGATAGTCGCTTCGCTAAGAACATATGCATGACTTGTTGCAATACGCCGTTCCAGCCCATGCAGCACCACGTAATGTTCTGCAATGAAGACCCACTCTGGCCCAAGCCACATTTGGAACTCACAGATCCTTGCTCGCTCTGCTGCCAGGCTCCAACTGGGCAAACCAACCACTTTACTGGCCCCCGTCCAAGCCGCCGCACCTTCCTACTGAAACCTCCGTGTCAAGCTGGACACTTGTGAGCGCTTCGTCATCAGCGTTGCCATCACTCCGGCCACCACTTTCTTCTTCCTCCGCCTCCGCGACCTGCTCTCAGCAATTCTACAAAGAATTGGACAGCTCTCAACCACCTTGATCGACGGAGATCCTCCGCTCGTGACGTTCGTCCGTCCTTCTAATTCCCATCCCCTTATCGTCTGGTCTCCTAATCGTCCATCAGGAGTCTCTCTCTCTTTCGAGCCCGACCTCCTCGTCGGCCCAACTCACCCATCATGTACTCGAACTCGAACGCCTTTCTCGGCGGCAACAGCCAACGGCCCGGCGCGCAGCAATATGGTGGAAGCTCTTTCGGCCAGCAGCCAGGACAGCAGCAGCAGCAGCCCAGCCCGTTTGCTCCTCAGCCCACGGGCTTCGGTCAGGCGCCGTTGCAACAGCAATTCACTGGCTACCCGGGGATGCAGCAGCAGCAACAGCAACCGCAACAGCAAGCTCCGCAACAGCTCCAGCCCCAGTTCACCGGCTTCCCCGGCCAGGCCCAGCCTCAGCAGAGCTTCCAGACCGGCGCTCCTCCGATGCCGTCGATCCCCGCGCAGTACCAGCCGCAGTTCCAGCAGCAGCAGCCTCAGCAGACTGGATTCCCGGGTCAGCCGCAGCAACAGCAACCTCAGCCGACCGGCTTTGCCCAACAGCAGCAACCTCAACAGACTGGCTTTCCCCAGCAGCAGCAGCAGCCTCAGCCTCAGCCTCAGCAGACTGGGTTCCCGCAGCCCCAGCAACCCCAACCTACTGGCTTTCAAAGCCAGCAGCAGACGGCTGCTCCGACCCCTATCAAGCCCCAAGCTACGGGGTTCAGCCAGATGGCTGCTTCTTTCCGAACTGGAGGAACGCCGAAACCAGCTGGCCGACGCTCCAAGTCTGCCAACAAGATCCCGAACATTCGATTGTCATTCATTACTGCCCCAGACCAGTCCAAGTTTGAGACCCTCTTCAAGTCTGCGGTTGGCGAAGGCCAGGCAGCAACAATGTCCGGAGATAAGGCGAGAGACCTGTTGATGCGATCACGCTTAGATGGCGATTCGCTCTCACACATCTGGTTAGTATTCTATAGCTCTGTCGCCATAGCCGACCATACTGATGGGTCATTCACAGGACTCTTGCCGATACGACTCGATCTGGGGAGCTTCACTTCCCCGAATTCGCTCTCGCGATGTACTTGTGCAACTTGAAACTTACCGGAAAGTCCATTCCTTCGACCTTGCCCGAGACCATCAAGAACGAGGTGTCCAGCGTTGTGGACATTATCAACTTCAGCATTGCCGAGGATGCAGGTAGAGACACACCCGGCAGCACTACTACCGGCAGATCGAGCACCGAACCCACGATTCACCAGCCTCAGCCTCAAGCCTCAAACTCCCAGCTTTTGCAGGCCCAAATGACCGGCTTCCCTGGGCAGCAAGCTCAGGGCTTTGGACAAACGCAAGGGCTACAACCTCAGCAGACCGGATTCCCTGGCATCAACGTGCAACCCACCGGAATGAACCCGCAACCTACGGGTTACAATGGACCACGACCGCCAATGCCACCTATGCCCACGGGGTATGGCAACAGCCTCATGCCGGGCGGAGGTCCAATGGCTGCGCCTTTGAATGCGCAACCTACCGGCCGCCCCGGTCAATGGGGTCTCGTAAACGCGCCCTCCACAGGCCTGCCCAACATTGATGCTCTGCAGGCTAGAATGATGCCCCAGCAAGGCCGTGAGCAAGGGAGCTTTACTACGCAGGGTCTGCAGGGTAATGCTGTCATTCCTTGGGCCATCACCAAGGAGGAGAAGCATCGCTACGACGCTCTCTTCAAGGCATGGGATGGACTCCATAAGGGCTTCATTGGCGGTGATGTTGCCATTGAAATCTTTGGACAGAGTGGTCTCGAAAAGCCGGATCTCGAACGCGTCTGGACTCTTGCGGACAATGGTAACAAGGGTCGCCTGAACCTGGACGAATTCGCAGTTGCCATGCATTTGATTTACAGGAAGCTCAACGGCTATCCTTTACCTAACCAGCTGCCGCCTGAACTTGTTCCTCCTTCGACGAGAAACTTTAATGAGTCTATTGGCACCATCCGGTCAATGTTGAGCCAGGAGTCAGAGTTCCGTTCCAAGTCTGGCGCTGCTCTGCTTCCTCAAAAGACCGGTGTCAGTTACATGAAAACTCACTCGTTGAGAGGTACACCTGGCGGTCAAAGCACTGGGCGTAAGGATGCCACCGTATTTAAGAACAACGATGAGCAGGTTGGATATAGGTCTAGTGCCCGTCGCCGCGTCGGCAACAATTCGCCTCGCCCCGAATCACCTTCCTCTACCGCATATGACGACCTTGGACTTGATCAATTGAAGAAGAAGATTCGAGAGAAGGAAGTCCTCCTCGACGCTATGGACTTTGCTGATGAGAAGAATTTGGAGGAGGACGATTTGCTTGACAGACGCGACCGTCGGGAAGCAGAAGAGCTTTACCGCCGTATTCGCCGCATCCAAGACGACATTGACGTGCACCCGGATGCCGCGCTCTCGACGGGGGATTCGGAAGCCGAGAGACGATCGTTGAAGCGACAGCTCCAGAACCTCACAGACAAGGTCCCGGAGCTGGCCTCTGCCGTTCGCAAGACCGAAAAGGCCATTGCAGATGCAAGACTCGAGCTCTTCAGGCTCAAAGATGCAAAGGCTCACCCAAATAGCGCTGCTGCCATTGTCGGCACCGGTCCTGGCGGTGCAGTAACAGAGTCAGACAGGTTGAAGGCCAGGGCCAAGGCTATGATGCAGCAGCGCACTGCAGCATTGACGGGCAAAAAGGTCGAGTCGAGCTTCGATGACGAAGGCCCCAAGCGCCTGGAAGAGGAGAACCTCAAGGTCAAGACCGAAAAGGAGAACAACGAGAGCATGGTCAGAGACGTGGAAGATTCTGTGCGTGACTTTGCGCGCGGCATCGAAGATAATTTGAAAGAAGGTACCACAACCGCTTCCAACGAACACGAGAAACGACGCTGGGAGGACGCTCTGGGTGTTGAGGACGAAGTCAGAGATTTTATCTTTGATCTCCAACGATCTAGCCGTGCTGCGCGTGTCCGGGCTCAGGACCGACGTCCCACGTCCTCTTCGTCGCCCTCGGCCGCTCGTGCATCATCAAGGGAACCTGCTGCGGCCAGTCCGGCCGCCCGGTACGAGAGCCCGGCGCCTCCCTCGCGTACCACTACTCCCGGAGGCTCGTACTCTTCTTACAAAACGCCCGAGGAGCGTGCTGCTTTCATCAAACAGCAGGCTGAGCAGCGCATGGCTGAGAGACTTGCTGCCCTGGGTATTAAGGCTCCCACTAAGCCTGGTGAGACGGCTGCCCAGAGAATGGAGCGTGAAAGAGCCGAACGTGCTGCTAAGCTGCGCCAGGCCGAGGCGGAGGATGAGCGCCGCGAAACTGAACGTCAAGCCCGGCTCGCCGAAGAGACGGGCGCTCCGGCTCCCGCTGCCAAGAAGCCTCCCCCGCCGCCGTCGAGGAAGGCCGCCAAGAGTGACGCTGCTGAGAGAGAGGCCACTCGAAAGGCAGAGGAAGATCAGGCGGCCAGACAGGCCGAAGAAGAGCGTCTCGCCAGGGAACACGAGGCGCAACAGCGTGCCACCAAGGAGTTGGAGTAAGCTCACTGTAGACGATGACCGAAGATGATTATGTGCTAATGAATTCACAGGGCGAACGCCAGAGAGCAGCAAGATGATCTCGAGATCGAGCGACAGTCTGCTGCAGCTCGTCTTAAGGCACTCGAGGAGCAAGTCAAGCAGGGCAAGCTCAAGAAGGAGGAGGAGAAGCGCAAGAAGAAGGCCGCCCTCGCTGAACAAAGGGAGAAGGAGGCCAAGTTGACGGCACAGAGGGCCGAGATTGAAGCTGCTCGTCAGCGCGAGTTGGAGCTCCAACGCCAGCTCGAGGCCATGAACGACGACGACGACAGCTCATCGGATGACGAGGATGGCCCTTCTCAGATTACCCCCCAGGCCTCTACCCCTACTCAAGGCGGCAGCCAGATCAGCAGTCAAGAGCTCGAGAATGCAGTACCAACTGTCATTACCAGCCCTCCCACTGAGAACGAGAGCCGTAACCCATACCATCGCATGCTCTCTCACTCATCCGAGTCCACCTCGGCCCCGAGCGAACCTTCGGCGCCTGTCGCCGCACCGCCGCCACTCCCGGCGGCTGCGCAGTCTACTAACCCCTTCCACCGTATGGCGCAAGAGAGCAAGGCTGCCCCCGCGGCTGCCTCCCCCCCGCCTCCTTCCGGGCCCTTCTCCCGCAAACGCCCTGATGAGGACGACGATTGGGGCACGGATAAGGAGGACGACGAGGATTCCGACGATGATGACCGTCCCGGCGGCAGTAGCGCGGCGGCCTTGGCATCCATCTTGTTCGGAACTATGGGACCGCCGCGACCACTTTCAGCTACCGGAGACAAGCCGACGTCTAACCCCGTCAGCCCGGCTATGGGGAGCGATGCCTCACCTGCGTTCCCTCCTCCCCCGCCGCCTATGCCAGCCACTGGTGCTCCTCCTCCCCCGCCGGGCCCAGCACCCGAGGCTCCTTCGGCCCCTCTTCCGCCACCGTTGCCGACATCGCCCGCGCCCGCGCCAGGTGGCCCGCCGCCGCCGCCGCCTCCTCCTCCAGGCATGGGAGCTCCACCGCCACCGCCTCCCCCACCACCGGCGGGTGACGCACCGTCAGGGCCCCCGCCAGGCGGCCGACCTGCCGGTCTGCTTGGGGAAATCCAGCTTGGTAGGGCCTTGAAGAAGACCGAGACTCGCGATAAGAGCGGTGCCGCTACTGCAGGCCGCGTTTTGGATTAAATGCTCTAAGCTAGTACCACCAGTCCGTGCTGGCAGTGGAGGATGTCACGGGGAAGGCACAAAGAGGCTCTGTCGAGGTAGCTTTCAGGTTGGAAGTATAATAATCAGTTCCCAGTGGCAAGATTTAAGAGAGGGGTTGGAGGCGTGCGTATTGTTCCATTATCAGACAGATTTCCCCCGCTAGTAATGCTGCAAACCCCGAGTTCTTTCTTTTATTTCTTGGCCCGTGACCCCCCGGCTGGCTGCCAGTCCGTCGTGTCAAACAAAGAATCCAAGCTGTACAATTCGGCACGAGCTAAACCTGGTGAGGGCCATGCGTTGCGTGCGTGCGTGCGTTGCGTGCGATGGCATGAGGCCACCATCACCCCTCTCTCTCTCTCTCTCTCTCTCTCTCTCTTTTGGCCCAGCGTGCTGACGCTAATCGAGTGTTTGCATGGAGCTTGATCGTCTCCGCAGGGAGCCGGTGCGGCGGCGATGGCGTTGGTGTGGTTATTGGCGCTGCTGGTCCGAGTCCCAACTCCCCGAGTCTTTCGGGGGTTACAGCTATACTTGGTTTGCTTAAGTACCTTTGCGGTAGGTGAGTGAAGGGGTATTTTTTTCCCCCTTTGGAGGGGACGAGAAGGATGATTAGAGCAGACTTTTCGAGACACCCAAGAAGGAAGGGGGGGGTTTGGTTTGATGCAGGGCAAAAGCAAGGGTAGATTAACGCTCGATTACGTGCATCTCTCGGCCCATTGATGGTGAAGATCTCAGAAGTGACGGGTGAAGTAAGATTCGGGGGTTTCATGGATGTTGGGGTTATCGATCTTGCAGTAGTGCTTTCTCTGCGAGCCACACGCGAACGCGAACGTGTCGTCGTGTTGGGAAAAGTGTGTTTTGTGTTTATTGCCATTCCATCTCATCCGAAGGGGCCTCGAATCTTTGAAAGGGGGAGGGAATCAAACAGTTTGCGCCATCTGCTGCATGATACGCACTTGCATTGGAGAAAAATGTTCCCGGGGAGGGGGAGGGGGGGGGAGTTCACCATGTCACGACGACTGCGATGGCCTCTCGCTCTACAGTAGCACTACTGCAGGTCTTTCATGCGCCTCACGTCACGACATGAGCATCTACTGCAGCCGGGGGTCCTTACCTGCTCCGCGCAAACCATCACCATCCCCCGGCTTTCTCGGGAGCGCTGGCTTGTATCGTTATACGGGACTGGTTGCATAGACTAATGTAGGTGCGAGGCCAACTGACGGCAGAGAGAGAGGAAAACGAAGAGGAAAACGCTCTAGTGATGGGGCTAGATATGCACGCCGGCCGTCTTCGTCTTTGTAGCAGTCGACGCCGGGGGGGAGAGAGGGAGAGCTACAGAGCTACAGAGCTACAAGGCGTGACTACTACAGAGCTGCAGTAGGCTGAGCAGAAGAGCTATCAAAAGACGTTCAACGTTCAAGGTTGGAATATGGTTGGTTGCACTCGGCTAGGAAGCTTGGGACAGGTGGATCTACGGGTCCTGTTTCCCTCTTCCCCTCCCCCATCCCCTCCCCTCCTTCAAGCTTCACCCACATGGAAGAGACGGTTCTGGATCTGCAAAGGTGACTTTTGTGCCGAAAGGCTGAAAGCAGAGTCTTAGTTGAAAAATTGGTAACTCGGATTCATAGAGAAGAGTCGCTGCAGGACAGTGCATGCTGGAAAAAGGGACGTGCTCTGCAGCAGCATCTCTCTTCTACCTTTGGGATCTCCATTTCTCTCATGGACCCGGGCCCAGGCTGTCACGGTCAGATGGGGGGGGACAGCACTACGACCTCGATGAAACATATGCACGGATGAGGTGCTCGTAAGGTGTGAAAAAGAGAAACCTCAGTTCAGAGCTACCCTAGAAATCCTCCCAGCCTCCGGACTTTTTTTTTGGATCGCATGGAAACGGCTATGGAAGGACGAGGGGTAGAGAGACTGTGTATGCTGCATTACTGTTGAGACTTGAGGTCCTCGGGAGGATTGTGTCTCGGTCCTGCGAGTCTGTGTGTTTGTTACAGTTTGAGAGGGCCGACGGGCTCCGGGGTGGCGTTTGGAAGAGGGCGCCGAATACTCTCGAAGGAAGGGTAATGCGATATTTCTGGAGCGTCCTAAGGTGGTCCCAACCATGGACGGCCAAACGGCTGAAAAGGCCGAGGGTTCACACATGCGTCTTATGACATGGCTGATGTGAGGGAGGATGCAATGAATGGCCTTATTCGTATCCATAGAGGCCCTGCATAATGGGCCAGAGATCGGATGTTGGTCTATGCTTCATGCTTGCTTTTTGCGTGCATTGGATCTTTTTCACGTACAATGTACAAAACTTGCAAAGACGGGGAAGCCGAGGGACCCGTTTTCCAAACCCAGCTTTCGCACGTAGAGGCAAACTCTTGCAACACTAGTGAAAGAAGAAATTGAAACCGAGGCGGACGGATCATGGATGGGAATCAAAAGCAAATGAGATGGCAAATGCGTTGTCCATTGTTGGGGAGACGGGAATGAGGAGAGCCACGAGAGCATTGTTGGCGGCAATTGGGCATCTAGAGTCCGTCAACTTTTGGCCCGTCAATGCTTCCTTCCAGGGTGCTGAGGATCACAGACTCGACGTGGGATCGGCCAACGGACGGACGGCGACAATGCGCGTGAGCTGAAATGCGGCCAAAGCTTTCTTCGGTTGCCTTGGTTTTTCTGAACGACAGCCCGTAGGATTATCTGGCGATATGGGGCCCCTTACATGGCCTCACATGGGAGATCAGGCCTGGGGTTGGAAGCCGAGTAGCTTGGAGATGATAAGGTAAGGCAGGGCAGGCCGCAGGTTGGCATATGCGGCGGTCCTCTCCTCTGGGTATCGTCACGCTAGAGACGACACGACGGACAAGGCAGGGACTGAATCAGAGATGGGATGGGAATGAGGATGGGAGAAGGACCGGCACTTTGGGCGGGTATATCAAAAGCAGCGCTATTAATATCAGGAAAGCAGGGATGCATGCTCCAGTGGGGGACCCAGCAGGAGAGTGACAGTCTGTGAGACCGAAATGATGGAGAGAAACGTATCCGTAGAGAGGGAGAAAAGGAGGAGTACAGTAGTGCGATGCAGCGGCTCGCGGGTTGTGGTCCGCCGCGAGTGTTTGCGCATTGAAACGGATAGTCAGAGTCCCATCAAACGAACGTGTGAGCTGGCAGTTGACGGGGTCGGGAAACGCACGAGAGAAAGACAGTGAGAGAGAGAGAAAGAGAGAGGGAGGGAGAGTTAGAGGAAATAATGGTCAGAGAATGACGAAAACTCTATCCCATTTCCGCCATATGTCTCTGAATTTTCCCATGAAATACTCCATATCGTCAGGGAAGCGAGGAGGAAAATTTGATCACCGGAGCGGATTCCGTGGGGATCTCGATGCCCTTTTTTTTTTTTTTTTTTTTTTTTGGTCTCACCTCTTTTTTTCTGCCCAAGTGTCGAGAGAGCTGAGAGCACGAGGTGGGAAACATGCCGAGATGGGGAAAGCGAAAAGTCAGGATTAGGGGCGAGCTAGATGCGTTGTCAATGATGTGCGAGATGGGATATCTCCCGTAGGATAGATTTGCATCTTATGCGAAGATCGACTGACAGGGTGTGACGACTAGGCTGAACCTGGAAGCAGAAAAGCCAAGGTAGGTAAGGTACCTGGCAGCCCCCTCACGGTTTGTGAACGGATTGCGCAAAATTGGGAGGGGAGGCTCACATGGGAGAGGATGCCCGCCAGGTACCGGACCGACAGCACGAGGTGAGAACCGTGAGAGGGTGGGCAGCAGCAGCAGCAGCAACAGCACGACCTGGGGCTCGAGCAGCAAGCTCGAGCGGTGAATGGGGAAGAATGAGTGGTGAGAGATGCAGCGGCAGGAAACAGAGAAATTGCTTCCCAGAACCCTGCTTGGTCTGCACCATACAAGCTGAGCCTTCACTTGCAAAGTTGCACGTACACTACTTCTTCCACTGGCGGCAGGTCACGCAGGTCACAGGTGTATCCGTACAAAGTACGTACCGTCGAGACTGGGAAGTGGCTTCGAGGCCAAGGTGGAACCTGATGACAGGAACAGGCAACCTGCAAGAAACTTGGGAGTTGGCACCAATTCTGGTTGAAACATTGTCAGCTAGCGGAGCCAGAAGAGCCAATGAGAAGGCTCGAGGTGGAAACGGTTTGATTGGGGAGCAAGAGCTGGGCACGTCCGGGCACTTTGGCGGAGACACGAGGTTTCTGGAAAGAGCAGCAAAAAAACATGTGCGAAGGGATTGGACTGGGGCTGCGGTAGCGAGAAGGGATGATGTCACGGATGGGAGCAGGGGAGGCCAAGGGGGGTGAGGCCGGGAGGGGGGTGGTTCCGCTCTCGGTATTTCGTATCATCGGACGGGCCATTCGGGTCGTTCGTGAATTGCTGGATTGCCTCGTAGGCTCATCAGCACGCGGTCTCACAACTCCATACATGGTAGCTTTACGGGTACAGAGAGAATTGAAGCGAAGGGTCACAGGTATCATGACTAGTGTCAGATGCCCTCTTTAAATGGTAGCCCCAGTGGCTGATGTGGTTCTGTACCTGACATTAAGGAGCGCCAATGATGAGATGTTGTCTTGATTTCTGAGACCGTTTCCCCGTACCTGGGCGCGCTGGCTTCTGAACACCTAGGTTTCGGGCCCAGTGGAGAAACACGCATATTGTAGCAGTCTTGTCGTAATCGGCGTTGTGGCCTGGACGTTGCCTTCTTCTAGTGCAACAGAGTTCCAGAGTCTGCGTCGTCAATGGCTGTATCCGTTTACTTGTGATTGAAAGACAAGGGTTGAGGCGACACGGCTGTCCACCACCGCCCGTCCACGACGGTGGTTCGACGTCGCCCATTTAGAGATGGCATGCTTATTCGTCAGGCTCACTTCAATGCAACACCGCGGCTGCCGTCGCCATTCCGCAGAGAGCAAAGACCCGGTGGACACCGCTCATCCATGGGATTAGCCTTTCAAGGTTCCCAACGTATATCCGTGCAGCTGCTGTTAGTGTCTTCACGGCCGGCGATGAGCGCTCCGGAGTGCTCCCTGCGCCGAGGCTTGAGCACTTTTAGTCATTTTTTGACTAGAATTTCATGGGTAACCTTCTTAAGCTCTTGGAAAGTGCCCCATTAAGCCCAATTCTACAAGTCTGTTCGTTCGGTCGGCCGTTGGGTAACAAACAGCTGGGATGATGGAAGCATTGATGAGAGTGATGGTATCCTCCCGTGCCTCCTAATACACGGACGGGCTGGTTGTCAGGCTCGGGCCAAAAAAAAGTCCCGTCCAGCCGTCCAAGACTTTCAAAAAATGCAGAGCACGAGGCAAGAGATGGAAGATGAGCGGAATGAACGCGCGCAATCGACTCTCGTCTTATATCATCGGGAGGTAAAGTGAGACGCTCGTCACATTCCGTACCTGACGATCTGGCCAACTTTAGACGGGTCTTGGTAGGTCTCGGTCTCAGTCTCACAGCGGGGACAATCGTTGCGAGACAGCCTAAGCCATTGGGGAGAAGGGGGGCGGAAAGAATATGAAATTTTGTTAAGTGGTGTCAGTCTGACAAAAAGAAAGAAGATGTCGTCCAGCCTTTTCAGCGGTTATCCGTGATTTCCTACCCGTGATGGACACATGAGTTGGGATGACCCAGTTTCATCGGATGGGGCACGACAGCCAATCGGAGGCACAATCATGTGATTTAATTCTTCTGATTGGCCAACAGGTGACGCGTTTGTTGTTTTCTTCCCGAATCGGTGAGACGCGTCGGCTACGCGCCGACTTCATTCCATGATCTGTGCCTAGAGCCCTCGACCCAATCAATCCCAGCAGTAGCGCACGAAGAAGGCCAGACGAGGACACCACCTTGAGGACACAGAACCGTCGCAGCGCGCAGAGCGAATCGGTGACCTCTTTTCCAGCCCTCACTGGCTCACACACAGCAGCAGCAGGAGCAATTTTTGCCTCTTCTCTTACCTGAGATAGAAAGCCAGTTTCGTCACGGCTGCAGATCAGATCAGATCAACCAATTGACGGCAAATGGGCGCTTAGCCGAACAGCCACTACTGTGAGGGAACTAGCAATTCGACCATCGCCAGAGGAAGAAAAGGCAAACCCATGGTCTCTTTTTTTGGCCTTGCGCTACCTGCTGGACTCGACCGTCTCGGCCTGGGCTTCTTTTGACATTTGGTAGTTTCGAGACAGTCGCAACACCACGAGGGACGAAGTCAAGGACGAGCGATATCACAGTTTGCACCATTGCCCACAGCATCCACAGGTATTTCCCCGGCAGAGCCCTGCATGCAACACCATTCGCCGCCCGTCAAGCTGCATCTACCGACTCTAGTAGTGTAGTAGCTGTTATCTACAGCATCCATCCCTGTGGCGTCTGAGAGTAGGGGACCTTTGGGGGTGCACATCCAATGGAAATTCAACTTACCGGTGGCAGACACGCACACATTTCTGTCGGAAGACAGCGCAAAAAGAGGAGTACTGTGAAGCCCGCGGCGGCCCACCACGGACTCTCGCATGAACTGCAAAACCTGCTTGCATACGGACAGTACGTGCATAGCATAGCCTTCCCGTCCTGTCGCCATTTTTCGCCCCATTCACATTTGGTACAAACGTCGTCACCTTTACCATACGTAGTAGTAGGCTCTGGGATCCTCTCTTTCTCTCTGCCAGACGTAACCCGCGCAGACACACTTCCCCCTCTCCACCAGTCTGACAGGCCTGGCCCCGAGAGCATTGAGCTTCTTCTCAACTTCTCTCACTCTCTCCTCAGACTTGGACCTGAATTGGAGCCGGGAGAAAGTCTGTTCGACTTCATCCGACCGGGCTGGCTGGCCCTCTCTCGACGGCGGCCCAAGCAAACGCGCAAAGACAAACGCAAATCCTCAGCGCCTGACAGAAACCAACCGGCCTAGGGCACCGACCCCCGGATGCGAGCAGCTCTACACTACTTCAGGTCTCTTCTTTCTAATCGCTCTCCCGCTCGGCGACGGTTGGCTTCCAACTTCGACCTCGTTCGGGACGGCGTGTTCCAGCAAACGGTCAACCTTGCCGTGCATCCCATCATCGCCCATCGCCCATCTTCACACTTCACACCCATCATCCATGCATACATGCTACTAAGTGCTACTGTGCCTATGCCTATGCCATCGCACCCCGGACGATATCAAGCACACTCGCGCACACCACAGTGACCACACCTAGCCTACTAGGTACTCCATTACACTCCCTGCATCTAACCAGACTACGGAGGTCCTTTACACTACACACCCTTGCTGCCACCTTCGGTGGACCCTAGCCTGGTCGGTCGTCACAGCCCACGCTCCTCTCGTCCAATCGCCCATTCCTCCCGTGCTCCAGAGGCCCCACCAGACATCTCTGGGCTTGCTGCGCTGGCCGCCCACCTCTTCAAAGACATCCCGGTCCTCTCCACTCGCCTTGGCTGAAATCAATCCATCCTTCTGCCGCCGGCTCCCACACTTTACTCCTCCTCTTCCTCACTGCCTGCTACCTACCATACCTACTACTACCGCTGCCGCTGGCTCGCCTACTACATCTTACCTACCCTCCTCTCCCTCGCGTGGTATCGTGCCTGATATCCCCTCTTTTCTTTTCATCTTTCTGCAGCCATAAGCCATATCTCACCCTCGCCTGCTGACTCTCCTCTCACCCTCACACACACACATACACACACATCCTCATCCCATAGCTACCGGGCTTCACATAGCAGCATCGTCGTCGCCGTTCACATCGCCCTTCAATTTTGTCGGGCAGCGCTCAACGCAGAAAATCGCCTTCGCTTGAATGATCGCATCGTGTCGATCCAGCGATCCCGTCGCTAAACTTACAATTTGACCGCCAAAAGGCCCCCTTGCATTCACGACCCACAAGTCATTTCCAGAGTCTAGACCCGACCCAGGTGAGCCATGAGTCTCCTCCTTCTCCTCCCTTCAATCATGCAAAACCCCGTTCGGGTTCAAGAACCTTGGAAAACGGGCCCTGTCAGGTCGACAGAGTCAAGACCACACCGTCAACTACTTATCTAACCCTGTGCCTTGCGGCTCGCTGACATGCCCTCCCACCCACAGCCCACTACTTGCTGCGAACGCACTTGACGCAAGTTGGCGACGACATCGATTACACTACTCTCGGCCGACATGGCCAAACCCACGCGCTATACCGGCTCGCATGAGCCTTTGCAAATCTACCAAGACGACTTTTTCGAGAACTCGACGACAATGATCAACCACGCACCCATGCCTGCCGCCTCCAAACCACCGAGGAGGCCACTCGGCGCAACAAGCAACAACAATGTCGTGCTCAACCCTCCGATGCTCGCATCTGATAGACACTCGCCTTTGAAAGCATCGTCGGGCAACGCTAAATCACACCCTGCGCCGTTGAAGTCGCAAGGCAACAAGTTGAACATGGTGCCAATGGCGCCACCATCAGCAAATTCCCAAAACACCGATTCGCTACACAAGAAGCCATACTTATCCAAGTTCAAGACCGTCGCACAGAAGCCTCCTTCCGTGGATCTGGCCGCCGGTTTCGGGAAGGAGAACATCCACCCGCAGTTATATCCTGCGCCACCTACAATCAACTTTGATCAGTTCTACATGCACAAGGGACCCGGGAAGCGCACACTGATGGAGGCAGCGCCAATCAAGGAATCACGGCCCCTGAAGAAGGCCAAGGCCGACGAGTCTGGTCTGCCACCTCACGACTCCTTCCCTCCGATCGTCGACGATGGGACCAAACCAGGCCACAGCTACGCGACGTTGATTGGAATGGCCATCCTCCGATCACCACTACGGCGTCTAACCCTCGCACAAATTTACAAGTGGATCTCTGACACGTACTCGTTTTACAAGGCGGAGGAATCGGGATGGCAGAACAGTATTCGGCACAACCTCAGCCTCCACAAAGCCTTTATCAAGGTGGAGCGACCAAAGGACGACCCGGGCAAGGGCAATTATTGGACGATCCAGGAGGGCATGGAGCAACAATTCATGAAGGACAAGCCGGCAAGGAAGACCGCGACCACCGCCGAAAACGTGCCTGTCATGTCAACCCGCATGGAACCCTCGAGACCGGCCAACATGCCTATCCAGGAGCCGACCCTCCCGCCTCCTGCACCGATCAGGCATGCGACACTTCCGCCTTTGCCTACTTCTCAAGCTACCGTTGCTGTCGAGTTCTCATCCGATGCCACCATTCCCGTCTCGGACTCGGCCGCACCGGAAGATGGACAGGATAAGCTTGACCACGAATGCTCCCCTCTGCCGCCTACGATGCACTCTTCACCGCCAATTCCGCGACACATGGAGCCCCGCAGCCGCACGCCTCCTCCGCCTGGCCGCGGACCTATGTCGTCGATCACCAGATCTCACAAGAGGAAATTCGCATCCATGGACGACAGTGGTTACATTTCGTCTCTCGAATCGTCTGCTCTGCGGCCGCAGAAGACTGGCATCCTTACTTCGGAAGCCGATCGTCCGCGCAAGCGCAGTCGCGCAGGCAGGGCCGAGGATGAGATTGCTCGCTTGCGCGCGTCGTCTTACGATAGCCCTAGCAAGGGTCGGTCGTACAACGCGTTTGCCCCACCGTCCTCATCGCCGCTCCGCCAACAAGGGCAGATGCTGCCACCGCTCACGCCAGCCATGAAACTGAAGCCGCCTACCAAGGCCCCGCCGTCTGCCTCGCCCAACACCAACCTGCGCCAGCACCGCGAGAACGTGCGCCAGATGTTGCAGTCTCCGATTCGCAAGATGGCCGGCACCGGCGACGGCAACGCCCCGTGGAGCCCCGCTTTCAACTTGGACGAGAGTGTCTACAACTACAACCTGATGACTGCTGGTGACTTTGACATCTTCCAAGACATGGACAACGACTTCTTCGACGGAGCACCTCAAGAATCTCCCTCCAAAAAATCTGGCGGAAAGCGCCCGCGGCTGGAGCGCACTCACTCTGCCAATGCCTTGGCCGATACCCATGACTCGAGCAACGGCAACAAGTCGGTTCTCTCAACGCCCTTCTTGAAGGCACCCGCACAACCTTCCGCCATGTGGGAGACTCCCAGCAAGGTTTTTGACGGCCTTTCTTCCCCCATCAAGGCTAACAATGACGCCGCTGTGCAATGGAGATTCCCCTCGCCGACCAAGATTTCCAGCTCGTTCTACGAGGTGGCGGCCGAGGGCGACTGGCCATCATTCTCTTTCGACACGACGGACTTTTTGTCGGAGGAGACCACCGAATACTCGGGTCTCGACATCTTGCAGGGCTTTGAGAAGATTGGCTCTGGCTCCCAGCCCAAGGCTTCCGGTTCCAAGCCCAGCAAACCTGCGTTTGGACGAAGCTACACGACGCAATTCTAACCTCTTCCAATGAGACATGACGACCGTTACGATGTATGAACACACTTACTGGCATGACGTCCGATGCTCAGGCATTCTGGGCTGTTTCGACTCACACGATTATGGAGCGGGGGAACCATCAAAACTTGGGCTGATTTGGCTTTAAAGACTAATGTCTGATTCGGGCTTCGAGGCTTTCACAATTCTCTTGTCCATGATTGTTTGCTTTATGATAATGACGAAGCAGTGCACATATAATGTCTGGCTCTATTTTTTTTTTCCGCGGGAAAGGGAAGCGAAGGGACATCATTTTTGCGAGGATGGAAGGAAGGGGGAACATGAGATTTTTCGCGTTTGCTTTTCTTCGCTGGCTTCGTTAGCCTCGGATCAGGCTAGAGGTGGTCGGAACTTGCTTGCTTTTTTGTTGTTTGGCCTGAATGGCTTCTTGTTATTTTGCTGTGTAGGAAAATTCGGGTTGGATGTGTGGCGTATTAGCTTCACTCCTTGCTAAGCGCACTGGTAGTGGTCAATTATAAGTATTGAAACACGCACTTTACAAAGCCTTACAATGCATTACTGTGTATGATGACAAAGTCGGCATGGCTCTCGAGGAAGCCATGCAGAGTGTCTATCCAGTACACGTGACGAGATCAGACATTTGGATTAGCGAATCCGCCGCCATTTTGAGGTCAGCGACGAAGCTAGGCTCTCAGTTTCATGATTGAACTCAAGGACGGGTATCATATTGTCTTGCTCTCTAAATCCTTGTGTCCTACATATCTAAACCTCGTGAATCATGCCTTGTCCCAGAACGCCGGGGTTTGTGCCTCTACGATATCTGCCAGTTTACATCGTCGTCGTCGTCGTCGTTGTCTTGGCCGTTGCTGTTGTGGTCCAAAGATGCAGAAATTCAACACTCGAAAACAAAAAGGCATCTTTAAAACAAACCATATTACAATCACAGTCGCACGCGATTTGATCAGTATATTCCCATCCTCGTGGCCCAGCCCGACTCCTTTTGGTTGATGTTGATCTGATAGGGGAATGGGTTCGACCCCTGCGTCGTTATCGGAGGGATGTGATCCTTGTGGGCGTTGACAAAGGTGATGACCTTCATGACGGTCGTCATGAGCGTCGTCTCCATGGCCTTTCGAACTTTGGCTCGCTCTGTTTTGACGTCGGGAAATCACCGGTCAGCCTTCTCTTTTGGACCTTGCTAACATCGCATTTACACCTTCCAAGGGGGGCGGTGGGGGGACAAAACCAACCAGTCTCCGTCCTGGGCTCTGCGACCGTGACTTTGACGGTCCAGCACTCCCAGCAGACCTCCTCATCCCCGCGCATGAGCCAGGCTTTGCGGCGCTTCTTCTCGAAGAATTGGACGGTGAGCTGGCCGCGACCGCCGCCGCCTGAGCCCGTTGATCCTGAGGAGGAGCGCTCGGCGTCGAGCTGGCGGACGAGGGCGGTGGCGCGCTGCTCGATCATGGTCTCGAGCTCGACATCGTCGACGTAGGGGAGGGTCAGGTCCAGGACCTCCCTAGTGTAGGGGACCACGGCGGGGAAGAAACGGTGGAAGAAGATTGTGTGTAGAATTCCTGGGTTATGGTGAGAGTTTGTTAGCATGGCATTTGTTATTTTTATTTTTTCACATCTTGTTCAACTGTGAGGGGTACATTGTCCGCATGTTCGGGTTTTGCGTGTGGGAGAGAGAGAGAGAGAAGGAGCTGGGCGGTTTGGCTGAGGTAGGCAGTCGCATCGCGAGGCTGAGGTTCGGAAAGGTGTGTAGTTTCATTGAGCCGGATATGACGTCTGGCGGGGCGCGCACTGCGGGCTACGGGAATGGATGGGGAGGGGAACGAACGGTACCTTTGACGACGTCCCGAACAGAGGCCGGGTCCGCAAAGGCTTCGAGGATGAACTCCGGGGCGTTATTTTGCTGCATCGTGCCTTTTTGGCGACGGCTTTCCTGGAACCGTTTGTGATGTATTCGCTCGGTAGGATAGAAGCGGTTGGCGTGAAAAAGAGGAAACAAGAGAGAGAAAGGGATATAACCAGGCGCGGTGAAACCTCCCTCTACCTAAGGTACCTAATGGCCCAAGGAAGGTGTCAGATGTGCTGAGGGGCACTTCAGCCTGGCACAGATGCCACCACACCGATAAGGGGGCGGGCGGGCAGAAGAGAGCGGGGAGTGAATCGCCCAGGGAGGGGAGGGAGGGAAGGGAGGGGGACAGGAAATCGGTAGCAGGGGTAAGGTACTCTGCCCTCTTCAATATCAGCCAAGGTACTTCCCCGAGCTGGGTCCCGGGAGCAGAGTGTCTGTGGGCTGCGGCCCTGGGTAGCAAGCCATAGATAGTGAGGTAAGGTGGGCAGTCGTTGGTGGCGGGCAGCAAGGGCGGGCATTGATACCGCCGGGAAGCGCTCGATGCGGCGGCGGCTGCGGTACCGGCACTTCAGCCACAGATGTTGGGGGAAGACACGGGCATTTATGAGATGACGCGGGACGTGGTTGTGGCTGGGCCGAGGTAATCACGGTTCACGACTCGCAGAGCAGCAGCCAGAAGGCGTGAGCTCCTCTCTGAGCGTGCTTAATTGCTCCAAGTTATCATTACGTGCCGACCAGCCTTCCCAGAGCTTGCTCAGATAGCCAATTTTGAGGGTTTCAAGAGGCAAAAATCCAATTTCTTTCATATGGTTCCCAAAGCAAGACGAACGACTATTTTTATTCTGTGACTTCTTTTCAAAGCTTCAATCGACTTCTTTTATTAGCTTTTTGCTTATTTCGTTTTGCTTCCGTCTTCCTCGCCTTTCCCGTTTCCCCCTTTTAACCACATCTTCTACATCAAAAACCACCAAGGGATCCCTCGGACCCTTTCGACGCTCGCCGCGCAAACACCGACCATGTTGGAAGCCACTCGGCGATGGTTCCGCCGAAATAGGACGCCCCTCGCCGTCAGCGTGGGAGTCGTCGGCGCAGGCTACGTGGTGACGCAGTACTTGATGGGCAAGATCAACGATGCGCGCGAGCGTATGGGCAGCGACCGTATCGCAAAGGAAAAGTGAGCTCATCCCCTTCCTCCCCCTGCCCCCGCCTAGCTCTACCACCTCGACTAACACCTCCGTGTCAAAATCGTAGCCTTCGCCGCCGATTCGAGCAAAACCAAGAAGACTGCACCTTCACCGTGCTCGCACTCCTCCCCTCGGCGACGACAAACATACTCGAGGCCATGAACACAGAGAAGATCACCTACGAGATCCAGAAGATGAAGGGCCAGACCAAGAGCCTCAAGAGCGGCAGCGGCAGTCCTCCGAGCATCGCCGACACCACCATGACCGAGGACGACGGTCGCAGCATAGTCAGCAGCAGCGTGCAGAGCGAGAGTGGAGTTCACGCGAGCCAGATCACGGTGCCGGTCCCGACTTCGGCCGGCGCGGGAGGGGCCGCCGAGGGCACCCAACAGGATGGCGGGGCCGCGGCGCAGAAGAGTCGCAAGTCGAAAAGGCAGTTGTGGGATGATTTGACTATCAGTTGTGAGTGACGCATGCCGATGCGATAGCAACATAAAGGCGAAGGGGAGAAAATACTAACACTAAAGTCGCAGCCATCACGAGAGCATTCACGCTGCTATACACCGTGGCACTTCTGGCGATGTTGACAAGGGTCCAACTAAACCTCCTCGGCCGCCGCAGCTACCTCTCGAGCGTCATATCGCTGGCGACCGGCACCGCCCAAGCAACCATCAGTCTGGAGAACAACGACGACGACGGCCTCGACCAACCCTACGGCAACGACTTTGAGACGAACCGCCGTTACCTAACCTTTAGCTGGTGGCTCCTCAACGAGGGGTGGAAGGAGCTCGGCCAGCGCGTCGAGGCCGCCGTCCGCCAGGTCTTTGGCCACTTGAGCCCGCGCGACCTGCTCAGCTTTCAGCAGTTCTCGGAGCTGACGCTCGCGGTGCGCAAGGCCGTTGAGGGCGCCACACCCGAGGAGCGGAGGGCCGCAAAGTGGCTGCCGTATCTCCTCCCGCCACGGGACAAGGAGGACCACGTGCTCCGTGAGTCCGGTATCCTGGAGGAAAGCACCGTGATGCTGTCCGAGAGCGCCGCCTTCCAGTCATCGCCGTCGTCGTCGCCCGCCGTGAGAAGGCTGCTCGACGAGACGTCGGACCTCATCGAGTCGCCCTCCTTCACACATGTGCTCACACTCCTCCTCGACGCGGGCTTCTCCCTGCTCGTGGACAAGAAGGTCTCGTCGGCGGCTTTTGACAAGCCGGACCTCGAAGAATCGGAACCGCGCACGTTGCAGGTGGTGGTGCTGCTGCCCAAGATCCTCTCGGTCCTGACGAGACAGGCCCACGTCATTGGCAACGGTATGCCGAATGAGTACCTGCAGGAGATGGAGCAGGTTGCCGATCTCGAGGGCTTCGCCGCCGTGGTGTACTCGAGTAACTGGGAGAACGAGATCCACGACGACGAGGGCATCATGGCGAGCGCCGTTGATGTGAGGGCCAGCGAGGTGCCCCGCGCCAGCCAGAGCACTGCTACCACGTTGCCCAGTCAGTCGCAGAGCACGACGCAGGGTACCGGGGAGGAGAGCCTCGTAATGGTGAACCCGCAGTCCAGCTTTGAAAGTGCGTGGGGGAGAGCGGTGGACAGCCAGTAGCCACCCACCCCAGCCAAGATAGATATATATGGTCCAGACCTCGGGGATGTGTTTCGAGGTGTGAGCTGAGCTATGACATTTTAATGATATTCACGGGTACGAAGGGACGGGTGGCACGAAGCCGGGGGGTACTGGAAATATAGGTATCATTGTATAATCTATGGTCAAGAGATAGATGGTCAATCTCGAATCTGTACCAATAGCACGGGGGCTAGCCTAGAACAGAAGATGGGCAGCTCCATCCGTTCCTTGCGGTCTATCCACGCTCGGCCGCGTTTCTCCTGACTCTCTCATTGCGGGGGGTTGGTAGCCCTAGGACGCCTTTGGTCTATGCTGCTCATGTCTCTTCACGACGTGCGTCTGGGTAGCCCATCCTATGCCTCGACGTTGTAACACGTGATGCTCTCCTGGCACTTTTGTTGCTGAGGATCGATTCTTCCAGGTTAGGGGATTCCTAGTGCGAGGAACGTTGCATTTTGTGTTTGGTTTCGTTTTCTTCTTTTTTCCCGCTGCTGGACGGCAAAACGTCTTTCACATCAGGCCCCTGACGAACTGATCCAGACCCAGTTCGAAAAGCTCGTTCTTGACACCTTCGCCGCCCTTGTGTTCGGCCGGTGATAGGGGATTCTTGACAACTGCAGAAAAACGCGGCCGTCAGCACAAATCATGGTCCATTCAAGCCAAGATTCCAGGGGTAAGGACAACGAAAACATACCATATTCAACCCAAAGGTTTATATAGATCTGATGCAACACGTTGCGCATGCTCAGCGTGGCCGTGTCGGTGAGCATGACGAAGCGCAGGTTGGAAGGCGTCTCGTAATAGTGCAGCTTGTAGGCCGAGGTGCGGTAGCTGATGAAGGCGTCGTCGTCGCCGCCGAGCTTGCGGACCATGTTGCGGAGGGAGAAGACGGTGCCAAAGATGAGCTTGGCGTCATCCTTTGCCGAATTGACCTGGCTCCGGCGAAGCTGCTGTGACGAGGGCGGCGCGGCGCCCGTCCCCGCGGACGAGGGCGGTAGTTGTTGGGAGGGTGGGCGCTCGGCGGGGAGCCAGGTTTTTGTGTAGATGCATTCCGTGTGACGGTCAAAGATGTAGAAGGAGTAGACGACCATTGTGGGCGAGGGGCCGCGGCGACGGGGGACCGTGTCGCGCCGGGTTGGATGTAGTTGTCGGTCCGAGGCGGAGAGAGACAGAGAGGGATTGGTTCGTGATGGAAATTAGGGGCGCATGCTGTGGGATAGGGAGATCGCGGATGATTCTATCTCGCAAGAACGCAACGTGAGTTGGGCGCCGTCGAGGTCGTCGATGTATTTCGGTGGTCGCCGGGGTTATTGGGTATCATGGGTTGGATATGCAAGGTCGCAGGAAGCTTCACATTGCAGCTCGAATTGCGACGGGTACGACTAAGTAGCCGGTCGTTCAGTGGCCCCAGCCCCGAAATGCGGCTACCGTTGCTTGTCTCGGCCGGGGAGTGGTAGAAATTGCAACCGTGACCCTGGGAAGACCAGAGCTGGAGCTGGTCCGATTGCGTAGGGTACCTAGGGTACCTACCTTATGGGGCAGGGGATGTCGGGGGGGCCAACGAATTGGTGGGGCCCTCGTGCTGCTGCTGGTCTGCCATTCTGCCTTGTGGTGGAGCTTTAGGAAGTGCGACTACGTACCCCCCCGGACAGAATATAATTCTTTGGCGCAAGAAGGAGGGGTTCGAGCTGGCCCTACGAGGGGAGTACCAGTCAGCCCAGGTGATGGGAACCTGCGATGCGCCCAATGACAACGGGCAGAGACGCTGAGCATGGATGAGGAACCGTGGAATGGATAAAACGGCCTGGGCATCGTAGGGCGTTGGCAACTGGAGACTGATCCATTGTGAGATCCCTTGAAAAAAAACAGACGTGGGGGCTGAAGGGGCACACTCCGAGCAGAAGAGCTGATTGAGAACCAAACGCCATATTCTTCCCTCTCCTTTCCTTCCCACCCCCCCGGTTTCCCTTCGGTCGGGTTTAAAAGCTCAGCTGTCGTCTCGTTTTCGCGAATCCTGGTGCCCTGCTTATTTACTTTCTTTTGACGTCGCTTTCGGTTTTCTTGCCCGCGATTCGAGGTCAAAGCTCCGTCGGTCGCCCACGCCTGTCCGTCATATCTTGCCTTGCTTTGCCTTGCCTTTTGGTCCTCTTGTAGCTCGGTCGCTGTTGTTAGCAAAGCTCTGAATGAGCAAAGCGTAGCTACAGTAGCTGTCTCGCCCTCATCCCGCCTCTTCAATCTTGCTTCTCCAACATCACGTCAAGCTTACAACCCATCCTCAATTTACAATACCCAGCCTTACGCAGGCGAAACATGACAGAATCCGCCGAACCTCAGAGCCCGCCGACGACGGCCACCGCCCCAACGACCCTGGCTGCCTCGGGCATGTCCTCGCCCACCATCGCCGTAGGTTTCCACGATGAAAGGCCCGCCGAGTCTCGTCCGCCGCTCGCTGCCCCCATGTACGTCACTCACTATTCCTCTGCGCTGCGCTGCAACGTGCACCGCCTCCCCCGCGCGCTCCACCACTGCGCGGCGAGCGCTCTAACCTTCGTCGCCAACGTGGTACAGATCCGATTCGGCGGCCCAGCCATCGAAGTTCCAGAGCCCCATGCGACATCACCGCCGAACGCCCTCTGCTCACCGTGAAGTCAAGGTGCGTGTTCGCCAAGCTCGTTGAGCCAGCTCTCGATCATTCCCGCTGCGCTGCTGAGCGTGGTGGGGGCGGGGTAGCTGCAATGACGATGAACATGGCATCCAGAGAAGCTCACCAGGACTAGGAAACGCTCAACGCCGTAACGGAATACGGAACCGAAGCTCAGGATGGCTCCAGTCACCACCGCATCAACCAGTACATCATTAAAGAGGAAATTGGACGAGGCTCCTATGGTGCCGTTCATCTCGCGACCGACCAGTTTGGCACCGAATACGTAAGAGCTCCCAGCTTCCAAGTGATACCCATACTCACGTCCATCCGTAGGCTGTCAAGGAGTTCTCCAAAGTCCGGCTCCGTAAACGCGCGCAGTCCAGCATCTTGCGGCAAGGCGCCCGCCGACCCCAGCGCTTTGCACCCCGTGTTAGTCTCAACGCGCCGCTGTCACCTCATTTTGGCGAGGAGGGCCACGCCGGTTGGAACGTCAACGATGCTCTATTCTTTATTAGAGAGGAGATTGCCATCATGAAGAAACTGAACCACCCCAACCTAGTCCAGCTGATAGAAGTACTGGACGACCCGGAAGAAGATTCGTTGTACATGGTCCTCGAAATGTGTAAGAAGGGAGTCGTAATGAAGGTCGGCCTCAACGAAAAGGCGAAGCCGTACGGTGAAGATTCATGTCGCTATTGGTTCCGAGACTTGATTCTTGGCATCGAATACTGTAAGTTGGCTACCGCATATTCCCTTCCTGGCCCGGCTGACATCCTCTAGTACACGAGCAAGGCGTCATTCACCGTGACATCAAGCCGGATAATCTTCTCCTGACCAACGATGATGTGCTCAAGATCGTAGACTTTGGCGTCTCTGAGATGTTCGAGAAGCCTGGAGACCCCATGAAGACGGCTAAATCAGCAGGATCTCCGGCGTTCCTTGCACCCGAGCTTTGCGTGGTCAGACATGGTGATGTTGATGGCAAGGCCACGGATATCTGGTCCATGGGCATATCGCTGTACTGTTTGCGATACGGCAAAATTCCATTCGAGCAAGAGGGTGTGCTTGAGATGTACGAGGCCATCAAAACAGATTCCCCTGATCTGCCCGAGGATGAGAACCCCGACTTTGTAGATCTCATTGGTAGGATTCTGGAAAAGGACCCCCAGAAACGTATCGAGATGCACGAGTTGCGGGTAAGCACGAGTTTTATTTTGTAGCGCTCGCTGGTTGCTGACCATGAAACCAGGGGCATCCGTGGGTCACGAAACAGGGGACCGATCCTTTGCTGTCAAAGGAAGAAAACTGCTCGAATACCGTGGAGCCCCCAAACGAGCTTGAGCTCAACCGCGCCTTTACGCGGAAGATGAACCATCTCCTCTGCGTGGTGAGTAGCGCATCCCAAGGTTATCTCCGCGGTACGGAGGACTAACACCCCCGACAGATGAAAGCCATCCACAAATTCAAGAACATTCTTACAAGGCAGAGAAACGCAAAGTCTCGAGAAGGCTCTCAGTCGGACTCCCCACGCAATGGCGCATTGCACGAAGACATCGAGGCCCTCCTCTCCAAACGACGCGAGTTCCTAAAAAAGAGCAGCCTAGCCGACGTCAAGGCCGCTCCTGAGAGGTTAGACTCGGAACCCCGCGTCCTAGGCATCGGCATCGGCATCGGCATCGGGTCCCAGGACGAATTCGACAAGGACGAGCCCTCGGCCGGCGCTGTGGCCGAGTCACCGACCAATGTCGACTTCAACATCTACGACAAGGCGTACGAGGCCGAGGTGGAGCGCATAATGAAGAATCAGACGCGGCAGAAGACAGTGTACCTGACGCGCTTCGTAAAGGACCGCGAGCATTACAAGGAGGTCGCCAACGTCGTGGAGGGCACTTCGGCGGGCGTCACGCCGACAGGGACGCCAAAGGCCGATATGAACTTGGCCGCTTCAAAGGGCCGGTTCGCTGACTTGGTTCACAGCATGACTGGTGCCTCGAAACCCAAGGCTTCCGACGAGAAGGAGGAGAGATGAGAGCGTGGGGGCGGGACGGGGTGTGTTGGGCCGAGGAGACATTGGGCCTGGCGTTTTACGGACGGGCACGGAAACAGGCTTTTTCGCCTGGTAATCTTTTTCCTTTTGAATATGATACCTGTTCGCGGCCACCGGGAGAGAAAAGATTCATCGCTGGTTCAACTTTTGGTTCATTTCGATTCAAAGAGAGTATTGCCTCGAGAGGCGCTGATCGTGACGTGATTTTGCATACATGTCAAACCATCCGGCACATAGCTACGGGTTCCAGGTTGCTTATGCCGTGTCACCGACCGCTTTTTCTTCAAGAGATGGTCAACGCCGAAAAAAAAATCCTAGAGATTTTTCCCCTGGATAGCTGCCTCTTACGCGGCCTACCATGTACGCTTTACACATAATATGTAGCCGGTCGCAACGACCTATTTTCCTGTTACGGAATCTCAACCGTTATTTGAATCGGGCTAAACTGCCTGTTCAAGTAATAACACGCAGTCAGATGTTTGTAATCCCAACTAGTAACTAGCAACTAGGCAGCGAATAGACGCAGTGACGAAGCTTGGACGGCCTCTCGAGATGGATATGCGCTTGCTGCTCTTTGGAATAGTCATTTCGCCAGAGGGCTTCTGAGATAACACGTCTCCATTCCCGGCGCCCTTCTAGTTAACATGAAAGATTCACGAATGGCTAGTCACTCTGGATGAGAGTGCGTAATGAAATGCGATCTTTGAGACGCAGCATTCAGGGACCGGGCCTTTTATTTCACCTCTGACTCAACAAGTTATACGCTTTCTTATAGCTTTATCGCTTTTGCCCGCTTTTGACATGATGACTGGACACAACAGCCTGGAGCTGAGCGGGAATACTCCTTGTTGTAGACATTGTCGTATGTAAAGAGAAAGAAAACGAAGCCCACTTGCGTGGAGAACATACGGCATCGAAACACACACCGATAGCAATAGGGGACGACTTAAGTTTTCAAACTTCACGATGCGTGGACAAATCAGGATCATGTACAAAAAAGTTTATTCATTGTAATTTTTTTCTTTTTGACGTCGGGCATGGGTCATTGTTCCTGTCTCTAAAAACTCATGAAATAACAATGTATCCGTAGTAGAACAAGAATGACTATGATCGTGATCGTTGCTTGAGTCTTGCAGTCTACTTATTTCGCATCGATGGATCTCTTTTCCATGATCAGCTCAATGGATGAATTACCCTGACAGAGACCATCAAAGACTTCAGTATTGGATTCAGACTCAGCAATGTAATTGTGGTCGTGCCAAGCGAGATCTCCATCGGCGTTAGATGAAAAGTTGCAGCCCCTTGTCTCCCATGAATCGCTTCCTCCTAAGCTTACGTCCGTCTACATTTCACCCTCTACAAGGCCCAGGGGAAGATCCCATATCATATCATCGAGTCGCAAAGATCCCTCACCACTCCCATAGTGAGGTGATCTCGTTCTCTTCCCCTCCTCCCCTCCTTGATTTCTAAACCCCTCCAAGTTCAATATCAACCGCCAGAGTGAAATGCCCAGAGACGTGGCGCGACATGCAAGGATTGCATGATTATCTTTGCCGACGGCGTTTCTCCATGACAATTTTGCCGAAGTATGAACAATAACTAACCGTTTCCCAATGTTTCGATTGAGACACTATGTTATTCGATGACTTTTTGTAATGAATTGGTCTGTATGACGCTTCGTTACTTGAGGGAGACTGCCACTGACCCAACGCCCATTGCCTCCATTCCACAAGCACTTCAGCGAATATTATCCAGCCCGTCCACTTTTCACTTCAAATTTTCCGCTCTTCAACCTCTAGAAGAAATGGTTGGCCAGACCATCCCCGTCTATCGTAGAAGTTATCCCGCTCTCTTGGAATGAACAAATCAGGTTTAACATCCGTTTCATTCGCCACGAGGCTGGTCTGGCAGTCTTGCTCAAGATTCCGTCCCAATACAGCTGCATATAAACCTAGGTAGCTAGGGCCAGTAAGGAGCCGATCCTGTCATTGAAGGGACTGTCTCGGCCCAAGTTATCACTTCCGGGATTCGTAAAGCTCCAACCACAACCTTCAGTCTTTGAGCAGCCGGAAGCGCAATTCTGTCCGCTGTATGAGGTGAAGAGACATTAGCGTTCGTTCGAGCAGAGTAAGAGAGTTTGAGGGTGCACTCACAGGTAAGCGACGACGAGGGTGCCTGGATCGGGCCCGATGCTCGAGATCGAGTTCAGCCAAGGGGATGTAAGTACGATACAGACGCCCAAAGGCTGAACCTTGTATCCGCAAGTACCGCCCCAGTTGAAGTCAGTGCAGATGTAAATCTAGTGAGACGTTGGGTTAGTCTGCGCAGTGTAGTAGACGTCTAGAAAGACTAAGGAGGTGAAGCATGCTCAGACATACCCCGCCTACCGTCCTCTTGGATAATGGCACATGTTCGTCCGTTGTATTTGCCCAAGGGATGTCATCGAAGTTGATATATTCCAACTGTGTCGGCAAGGCAGGAACTGAAGCCACCTCTACAGCTGGTACGGGGTTCGCTGTGACCTGGGACGCGATAAACGCAAGGCCAGATGCGACGGAGAACCTCATGTTTGAAAGAATTTTGCTTGAAGACTTGGAAATGGTTTTCATTGAGTTTATGGAACTCTCGGCCATCTTCTTTGGACATAAGTCTTTATATATATACGGCCTAAATGCTACAGTGCGCAATCATTTCCGCCCTCGTTCATCTGCCAGCTGAGCTGTCTTCTATTCCGAAGAAGCGGGTGAAGGGATACGATTTCATCACGGAAAGGAGCTGAGTAATGACCATGATCAGAGAGCTTTCTGGTGGCCCTGACAGAACCGCTTTCCCGCTCCTCATGGTCAAGGCGGTCGGATGTAGTACAGCTTCCGTGGAGCGCATGTGGGAAGAACCAGCTGAGTACTGACAGGTACGGGGTCCATTTCGGAGAATGGATCATTCGTAGGTTCTGTGCATGTACCATGGAGAGATTGTGCAAGCTGAACATTCCTTTGGGTACAAAACGCCCTGGTAGCTTCCGAAAGGTCTGATCGATATCATGATCTCGTGCAGCATTGCACGGATTCTCAGCAATACGAGATTAGTTGGTTGCCTAGATTTTACGCTTGTTCGAGTGGAACTCCACCGCTCCCGCCTAGGATACCCGTGGTTCATGGCATGACTGTGCCTTGCATCGACCCGTCCCGCCTGGAAGCTTTAAATCATCCCAAAATCAGCCTGACCAAGTGAGAGGGCGACAGAACTATGTTGCTTACTCACATCCCTGTTACATCCCTGAGATATCGACCAATTCGGAAAACGAACTCTCTTAGGACCCCTACAACTTTGGCCTATGGGTACTTTGCCGATGATCGTTTGAAAAGTGTGGGTGTGACATCTTTCTGGTGTGTTTCTTCAAGAAGGGGAGGACGCTGCCAAGCCTGGCCAAGGCAGACGCCATTTTTCTTTGGGGGCACCAGCCTTTTGGACACCAGCCTTCAAAACTTCTCCTGTGGGTTGTTCAACGATGTGGGCTTTGGAATCAAATTTGTAAATTATAGCAAACAAAAAACTTTTGGCATCTGCTCAGCATCTGATCATTTGACATTCAACGGGGTGAGTAGCCCCAGCCATAATTTGAACAGCGATCAGCTATTACCCGTCCCCAGTCGATCAGACTGGAAACACAATCCAGCCATACTACTACCCCGACAGCTCAGCCTCCCGCTTGTCAATGGCCTTGTCTGACAGGGAAAACCCTGGCTACGCTGTAGAACAGCTAATGCATATAACCATTCAACAGAAGACACCAGCCGGGCAGCAGTCCGTACCACTGCGGTTACAGCCGTTGCAGCACCTCCCGCAGTCAACGCCTGGCAGCCTCTGGTAGTTGACTTCACCGATACACTGGTCCCCAGGGATCTGGCGAACTCTGAAGCTGCCGATTCGATCGTTCCATCCTTGGTTCTGAAGATTATCCTTTTCGCGGCTGTTAGCACCCGCGGAATTCCTTGCTTGGGGTACTTGGTGCAGAGGATAATGCCATCACGTACGCTTCCAGGATTAAAGATAGTGTAGGAGTTACCCGCGCAGCTGTTATCCCTATAGGAAACAAAAGTGAAGAGTGTCAGCGTCCTCTCACCACAAAGGGAACATAGGTAGGATAGCTTACTCGGACACAACGATGGCGTTTCCCGCATCCGGGCCGATGGAGGAGATTGTGTGGTACCTATTCCCATGAGACAAGAAATTCGCAGATGGCCTTGAAATATGGTAGTAACTTACCAAGGACTGGTGAGGACGATGCAAAGGTCGTAAGGCTGTTTAGCATAGCCCGTGGTACCTCCCCAGCCAATGTCGGTGGTGATGAAGACCTGCGGCAAAGCTATTGTTAATATTTCTCCGTTATAGTATATGAGCCGGAGCAACATACTCCACCGGGCTGTCTCTCACTAAGCTCAGGGTTGACGGCCAGGTCTTCCCAGAGAACAGAACGCGACTCAGGGCTTGCATCCAAGCCGGTGATAACGGCGGCAGAGACGAGCCGTAACAGACTAGCCAAGGCCAAGAGAGACGAAGGTGAGCGCATGGTGAATACAGTGCTGAAGGAATCCGATAGAGCCTTGCTTGGGGGTAATCTGCCACCGAATGTTGGGGTTTGTTCTGTAGATAAGTTGGGAGCTATTTGATTGCATGTAAAGTGGAACACTTCGTGTGAGCATGGAAGTAGATACGCCTGTTGCTGGTACCTGAGCAGTTTCATTTGTCACAATTGACACCTTCTTGATCTGGTTCAGCTGACTTAGACTATGTGTGATTCTTAGCCCGACCCTTTGGAGCCATTATGGTCAGGGTGGAAACAAATGGGACGCTGATTACTGTGCAACCAACGTTAGCCAGGCAGAAATGACTAGGACTTGGTCGTCTGGGCCACCCCGGGAATCATCCTGGATAGATAGGGTATTGGCAGGTGCCTTCCTTCAAGCTCCGTTATGCAAGTCAGTTAATCTGAAAACTCGTTAGTACTGTCAAGTCGAGCTGTAAATGTCTCGGTCCGATTCAAGATGCTTACGAGTGAGTAAGACCCTCGTCACTGGGTCAGAATTCAGTCTTGCAAGTGCGTCCAGACCCAGCCATACTTATCCCTGGAAGAAGACTACCAGTTTTGATTGTAAGAGAAAGGCTGAGTTAGAGTCTTGGGCGAAGGGCACCATCCTCTCCGACTTCACTCCAACAGCTCGCCGACGTCAGTGGCGAGGAAAACGCTCATTTCTCGCTTCATCTCAAAGCACCCAAAACTCAAGCTTTCGGAAAGTAATGACTAGCCAGCCATCTTGGCTGTTCCTGCCGTTCTTGCGGCTTCATGCTACGGTGGCGGCTCCGACTGCTTCATCCTTTCCGAGTTCCAGCAGGCGGCGAATCAATTTTGTAACGTGGGGCCTACGGCTCGCCTTCAGTTCGGTGACACGGACTATCCCAACCACTACAAGCGTATTGTCGAGGCTATCGGCAAGGAAGCGGCCAATAATTCACTGCCAGTCCCGTCTTATCTTTCTGTTTCCACGATTCGGGTAGCTCTGGCATGAGGTGAAAGAAAGTCAGCCGCGGTCAGCGTGACTACTATTTGGGGAATGTCCAAGAGCTTTATACGATTTGAGGGATTTACGCTTGAGGGGCTGAAGTTAGATTGCCATGAAGCTAAAGTAGATAAATACCGGGCCTTTAATTCAAGATCCAAGATAAATGGATTAGGCAGACTTGAACCAGAGTGCTCTATTTTCGTTTCTTTTCCCGCGTTAGCTCTGCAAGGTGTACCATGTAGATATGGTTTGTTTGATGTGTGTAAGTTTAATGTGAACCAACTTGTAGTAATCAACAAGCGCGCTTTGAGCTGGAAAACAAGATCTAGCATTCAGTCACTGCAAAAGACTTTGGACATGTGCAAGCAGCACATGTCAGCGATGGCTATATCGATATATCTATCATCCTGGGAGCTCACCAAGTCTCTAAACCTGCTAGTTCAAGAAAGAATTTTATTGACGGGTGGGTACCACCACCCAAAAATCACTGGATGTTCTCATCAACCTAAGAATCCGCAATTCCAGCCATGAAGTAGCCCTTAGTTAAGATGCGTCTCAGTCCCATCGCAAGCTACGCGTTCACAGCTACACCAGTAGTCCAGTCAAACTGATCCATGTTCCCGTTCGGCACGCAAGCTACGCAACTCACATCAGCGTCATGGCCTGTGGTAAGCGGATGGATTTTCAGTTCTTACCAAGCGAGAACAGGGCATAGGTGTCGGCGTTGAATGTGGGCTTGACACGCTTCAGGCGTGGATCCGGGTAAACTCCATTGGCGACGTTCACACATCCTTGGTAGCCGTAACCACCGTCTACCACGGTTTGAGTCAGTTCAGTGCTCCAACTTGAGAGAACTACCACGTCAACGCACCGAGTATGTCCCTAGAGGTGATGTGGAACAGCTCATGTAGCAATACCATCCCTTGGGTTCTCTGCTCATCAATCCGCCTGCCGACAGCGGCGGGCTTGAGGTTACTGAGGTTGGGGAAGTCGAAAAAGGAGGGGCAGAGCAATATGTGCGTCCCGGTGCTGAAGGCATCGCTGGAACCACCGAATCCCCATGTGACGGCAGAACCAGTTGCATGAGACTCGATGGTGAAGACGGTGGCTCTATGGTGGGTTTTATCAGTGTTAGTGGAATAACGTGCGCAGGAATGGTGTGGTAAGGGCAATTCCTACATATTCTCATCTCCGCATCCCACAAACGTATTAGACAGCCCGGCTTTGGACCTCAAGCTGAAGAGCGCCTGGGCCCAGTCCTCAGTGCAGTGTACCGTGATCACGCCTGGAAGACTTCGGCCGGCGACGATGTCGTCGTATTTGTCTGGTCAGGTTCACCGACCTTGTTAGCCAATATATTTCATCCATGATTGCTAGACTGAACCGTGTCTCACCCGCAATATCGAATGGCGCGGGACGACCGTTTTCGACTGTGGTGTCGGTGAATAACTTATCGTAGAGGTTGGTGAAGCGAGGTGCGCGGCTTCCTCTATTAACAATGTCACGAGCGGCCGTGGCATGGTCGACAGCATCTGCGAATGCCTGCTGGATAAAGCTATCAATTCTTGGAGTACAGTCGTCGAAAGAAGGCGCGGGAGTATTCGGTTGTCCCGGATTAAGAGGGATTTTGAAGGCCCTATTTATCGCGATGCTGAAGCCGTCGCATATAGACAAGAAGCTGAGTAGGAAGAGAAGGATCACAAGCTGCCTCTCCATACTGTCGACCTATTTCTCTGACAGAATACAGGCGTCCTGAACGCGAACTTGCAAACGGATCATTGAGGTGAGTGAACACCATGGACATATATGTTCTCTATACTACGAAGCGGCCGTCCCATCTGATGCGAGCGGAGATGCAGGGGCCCGTCGTTCATCGGCTCCTCCCGATCAGTTGAAGTGGGTGTGGTGATATAACCCCGGCTCGGGCAACGGTCACAAGGGTTTCCAGCTCAGTAAGCACTTCAACCTGAATAAGCAACCATGTAACATTATATACAAGGTATGGATAGATCATTAAAGAGTCCCCGGCAGGAAACAAGCTTCAATTTAGATTGCGGGCCGGCCTGATCAAGCTTGTGTTCCGCGTGGGGGGGGCTAGGCCGTATTGCCCAAGATTAATCGTACTCGTGACAACCCAGCATCTCACATACGAAGACTTCTTTTTCTTTTTTGGTGGCAATAAGACTACATCCGGAAACCTTTAGGTTGCAACATACGATTCGCTTGTCCGCTGGACCTCGACGAGATGGGCCCAAATCTATGTCGAGGATGGAAGACATGAGTAATCGCGCATGGGGGTGTCGAAAATGAGGAAGCTCTTTGCGAGTTGTCGTGGTACAAGCGCCAGGGCTCCACGAATATCTATGTATCCCCAAGATATATGGTAGTTTTCGCTGCCCTCTTCAGATCCATCCAATTTGTATCAAACTCTAGCTTTCACGCTTGCTTCGTCTCTTAATTTCTGCACTCGGTCAGCCTCTCGACTGTCTCTGCTGTTCAGATGGCGCTCGTCGCGGCCCTGGGTCTTGTGCTCAGCCTTCTGCCATGGAGCACATTGTCCCTCGCACTCAGTCTAAGCAACCAAACCCTGTCCCTCATGGCAGGCAATGCCACGATGCCAGGACCCCCTATCCCACCGCCAGCATACATGGTTGATCATTCTCACAACTACTTCAAAACTGCCCCGGACCGCTACGACCCCGAACTCGAGAGCCCTTCATCATCCGATGTGACGGGGCTGAAGATGATTCCAAGCGGGTCAGACGAGTTAGAACGCAGGCAGTCCAGCTCATACTGGCTGGCAAACATGCAGCATGGACAGGCACGTGTTTCCACAAAGGCCTGGAAGATGATGATGTGTTTCTGACTAGGGATTTGCGCCCACAATAGATGCCTTTTGCGCCGTCGGGCTATCGTGTATGGCGTAATGTCAAGGACTATGGTGCCAAAGGCGATGGAGTAACGGATGGTAGGTCTTGATCTCTTCTCTTCGCCTCGGAGGTATGTGTGCTGAGGAACACTTCACAGATACGGATGCAATCAACCTGGCCATAACGGACGGCGGTCGTTGCGGCTTGGGCTGCGGCTCGACAACCACGCTGGGAGCTGTTGTGTACTTCCCGCCAGGCACGTACATGGTATCTTCGCCCATCATTCAGTATTACTACACGCAATTTGTCGGCGACCCGACGGTCTCCCCACGACCAACCATCAAGGGCATGTCCACCTTCAAAGGTATTGCCCTCATTGACACGGACGTTTACATACCAGGCGGCAATGGCGCCCAGTGGTATATCAACCAGAACCAGTTCTACAGACAGATCCGCAATCTGCGGATCGATCTGACGGAGATGCCCAACGAAAACACCTCTGGAGACCAGACCTACGTGCCCACCGGCATTCACTGGCAGGTATCGCAGTCCACGTCCCTCCAGAACATCGATGTCGTCATGCCTCTCGGCGGGGGAACGACGGCCGTCGGAATCTTTACGGAGAATGGCTCGGGAGGATTCATGAGCGACCTCACGTTCTTTGGCGGCAACATAGGCATGCGCGTCGGCAGCCAGCAGTTCACCGCTCGCGGTCTGAAATTCCAGCTGCAGTCCGTGGCGGTGCAGATGATTTGGGACTGGGGCTGGACTTGGCAGGACGTCACCGTAGACGCGGCGTACATCGCCTTTGACTGCACGAGCTTCGGCGGTGACGGGGGCCAGGGCACCGGAAGCTTGACAGTCATGGACTCCCGCTTCAGCAATGTCCCGTACGCCATCACCGTCAGCGCGGGCTTCCGGCCGGCCATTACGCTTGACAACCTCGTCGTCGAGGGCAACACGCCTTCCGTGGTGTTGGTGAGCGGAGGAGAGACGCTTCTCGCAGGCACTACCGGCGGTTCTGAGACTATCCAATCCTGGGCCACGGGTCGGCGGTACACCAGCCTCAATGATGTCGGCACGGACACATCCGGGGACCTCGTCCCGGCTCCGAATAAGCCGCCTGCGCTGTTGAACTCGGCGGGCCGTTGGTTCACCCGGTCCAAACCCCAGTACGAGACGCTGTCCGCTGGGTCTTTCATCAACGCTGCCTCGTTCGGGGCCTCCGGTAGTGCTTCGGGCGACCAGAGCGCAGCCCTCAATGCAGCGTTCCAGGCAGCTGCCAACGGAGCAGTACTCTTCATCCCCGCCGGCATCTACATGGTGGCATCGACGGTCACTATTCCGGTCGGCGCCAGGGTCGTCGGCGAGGCCTGGTCCCAGATTATGGGGTACGGCAGTGCCTTCAATGACGAAAAGAACCCCGTCCCCGTCGTGCGGGTGGGTAACCCGGGAGACGCTGGCGTGGTCGAAGTGTCCGACCTCATGTTCACCGTCCAGGCACCGACGCCCGGCGCCGTGTTGATCGAGTGGAACATCAAAGAGAGCGGCCAGGGCAGCGCGGGCATGTGGGACTCCCATGTGCGTGTCGGCGGCGCCATGGGCTCCAAGATGCAGACCAGCGACTGCCCTGCGTCCAGCAGCATTGACCGGGCTTGCGCCGCGGCATCGATGCTGATGCACGTCACCCCTGGTGCGTCGGGCTACTTTGAGAACAACTGGCTGTGGGTGGCTGACCACGACCTTGATAACCCGGCGCAGAGCCAAATCAACGTCTTCTCGGCGAGGGGCCTCTTGGTGGAATCCGACGGGCCAGTTTGGCTCTGGGGCGGCGCCTCGGAGCACTCGGTGTTCTACCAATATCAGCTTGCCAACGCGTCCAACATCTTCCTCGGGCACATGCAGACCGAGTCACCCTATTTCCAGCCGACGCCCAACGCTCTCGAAGTCTTCACCTCGGGTGTGTATCCTAGCGACCCCAAGTTCGAGGACTGCGCCGCGAACCCCCAGTGTCTTTTATCGTGGGCCCTCATCATCAAGAGCTCGCGTGACATCTTCATCTATGGCGCCGGTCTGTACAGCTGGTTCTCGAGCTACTCGCAGAGCTGTCTGACCGGGGAGAACTGCCAGCAGCGTCTACTCCAGACCGACTACTCCCAAGGCATCTGGTTGTACAGTCAGTACACGAAAGGCGCACTCGAGGCTGTCTCCCCCCTCGGCGGCGTTCCCGCGGTACCGCAGGCCGATAACCGAAAGGGCTTCGTGACCGCCATCAGCGCCTGGCTTCCCTTGGCACTGCAAGGCGGAACCCTCGGCGGTGCTGTGGCTGCCGGGAACAATCCAACGCCCGGCGGCATTCTCCCCGTCCCCGGCTTGAGCGGCGCCTGTGGCACCATCACGGCGGGCGCAACCATGACCATCACGCCGTCGTGTTCCAGCGCCATCGCCGCCCTGCCGACTTCGGGTGCGAACAACAAGCCGCCGGGTCCCGCCAACTGCGGAGAGACGTGCGATCTCTACCGACTCGTCACGGCCACCTGCTGCGGCACTGGGGGCTCCGCCCCGTTTAGTGTCGAGGTGCCCGCCGGCGTGGGGCTGCCTGCTCCCTTCCCGCTGCCTGCCGGCTTCCGGCCGCCGCCTGGTGTGGTCATTAGCGTCCCAGGCTTCGACGCCTCCGGTAAGCCAACGACGACGACGTATGACTCTGATCATCCAGTCATTATTCCCATAATTATCCCCATCGGTTGGATCCCTGTGCCGGGTGCGGTCGGTGGTGGTGGTGGAGGTGGAGGAGGAGGAGGAGGAGGCGGTGGAGTCCCGGTCGGACCGCCGTTGATCGCCCCACCGCTTGATGAGATCCCCGACGACCCGGACTACTACCTCATCATCAAAGATGAATTCGACAACAACGCCTGGACCATACCCGACATCACGACTGTACCACCGCCCGCGACCACCTGCGACAGTGCCTGCTGTGGCCTCCAGAAAGCCCCCTGGCAGCCCGACTGCGCCGCCATCCAGATTCCGGATTCGCAAGACTCGGTCGCCGCGCTCAGTGGAACCTGTTGGGGCGAGGGCAACAGGAAATGGTGCGATGTTCTTACTCACGACTCGTGTGAGATCAGCATGGGATGGGATATCACCCAGTATCCTGATGGACAGGGGCCAAGGTAGGTGATCTATATGTTCCATGGATGCCGAATCACGCGCCGGGTACTAGTTGAGGGAGGGCGAACCTGCTAACATTGATGTCAATCAATAGCGCCACCTATGCGTTCCTTCGACGGACAGTCAACGACCAGCTGTGGCGGACGCCTTGTAGCCAGTTTTCTGTGGGTGTATCCAACGCCGACGGGCGCAGTTGGTTGTTTTGTATGAAGAGATCCGGGCAGAACTGCGAGTGACAGCTTCTAGGTGGCCAAGAAAGTCTTTAGTATATATGGCCATTCAGTCGAGGATTTAGATTCAGCATTGGGTGAAGTGAAGAAAACGTTTTATTATCAGACTCCTCAATTCCGTTTGTCTTTTTACTCCAAGCATTCCCACTCTTGAGCCTCAGAAAGTGCGTTAACAGAGCATCGCTCTCTATCCCACGAGGCAGTCCGCCTTCATAATTAATTTGGCCGTCCCGCTCTATATCTCAGTTCTGATGGTCTTTGCAATCCCAACGCCCGGGTAAGCAATCACCCCGATCACGCCCGTGCCCGTCTCGGTCACCGCGCTGACGGCGACCCTGCCAACGCCCTTGACCAAGTCCACCAGGCCCTCTTTCCGACGGGCTTCATTATGAGATCACTCAGACCGTCGGCTACGGTGACCGTCATCGACCGTTTCTTACTTGCCCCTGACCATTGGCAATTTGTGATGCTGTCGTCCTGGAAGAGCGGGAGCATCCGACCTTTCCATGAGGGGAGGCCGAGGAGCTTCCCTGTCGTGAGATTTACCCCTTAGTCTCGCGCTCGCCCCGTCGCTTTTCGTGTTAATACTTCTACACGGGGCTTGGTGAACATGCCAAAGAGCGCGTCGGCCGTGTTGACGATGGAGGCTACGACGGCCGAAAGCAGTCCCAGTAAGCGGATGCCATCTCGTCACGTCGAGATTCAATCTGACCTGTTACATTTTTCCTCTCACTTCATACTTCATACTCATCTCAATAGTGCCAACTCGGATGTTAAGAGGAGCTGAAAGCTGACCTGGCTAGACTTGCCCCAACACAAACTTTAGAGGACAAGAACATACCAAGACACGCCGTGTCATTCTCGCCTCTCGTTAGGTCTCTGCGTTCTCCTCATTGTTGTAGACTTTAGGCTGCTATGCTAGTTGGTCATCTCATGACAGACCAAGTGAAGTGTAGTCGCCATCTAAAAGAAAAAAGCTAACATTGCCACCAGAAAGGCTGATAGAAACAAGGTGTAAACAAGCCTTTTGCGCTCCGAACCCACCAGCTAAACAACCATCGATAAACCAATTTTCAGAGGAAAACACTTGCTGAAATTGCATGGGCCAAGTCACATCACAAAGCCACTCGTCAAACGCAACGCAAGAACATCTGCGCCTGTGCTACGTGTCCATATTTCCTGGCCATCAGTTTTATTGCTTCGAAGGTTTGAAGCAGAGCCGCAACGTTGAAGTCGAAAACGGGTGTCACACAGTTATTTCCACCATCCAGACTTCTCTCACATTCTCAATATCACAGTCCCTTGAAGTTTTCCCTTATTTCTCTCCGAGTTGCACACCGTTGCCCCTCTCCCACCACCTTTGACTGCCCTTGGACTAATACTGCATGGGAAGCATTTCGGCAGGAGAGAGACGCTCACATCATCTGTGCTGCTGTTCAAGCCTATTTCAACTCTCCAGGCGGAGCGAGGACCGGCATGAGCCTCTACTTGAGCCCCTTAACCGCACGATAGAGGCTGGAAAAACAGCCAAGGTGTTATTCCTCAGCGCTGTGAATAACCAAACGGGCTTAAGCGGCACGCCGGTCACATGCTCTTCAGTTTCCCCAGCCGCCATGTTGTATCAAACGGGGACGTCGAGAGCAGGAAGCCAAGCGCACGGGTAGCTGGCCACTCCCCAATCACCAGAATGACCCAGTCTCAACAGTGAGTCTCCCAGAATTCTCAAGTAGGTGCTATACTGAATCTGAACCGAACCGGGCCAGTCGAGCTTACCAACACCCATCAGACACCATCCCCGCGGGCGCCCACACCTTTAGTGTATTGCCATGTAGCTCGAGAAGAAGGAGAAGCCTTTACGTGGCCGACGATGACCCGCAACATCAACAACTTCCCTCAGCGGCGCAGGAGAAAAAATAATGACCCTCCTGGAGAAGTCAGCCAGCCTCGCCACGCCGTTCAGAGGAGGGGAAAACTCGCAGCCTCCCCCATCCATGGCTTGACAGGCATACCAGCCAGACCCTGATGCGGCTGACACAAAATAGACAGTCCCTCACACCTCACTCAGAGACAACTCCCAATGTCTTACCAACCCACCACCACAGCGTCTCACCTCAGCTCCTCTCCCATCTGAGGCAGGCTGACGTCCACTTGAACGAAGCATTGTCGTCCGTTGCTACGCACACAAGAGATACACGGCACGCTGGCGACCATCTCCCGTCCCGTCTGTCTACAGGAGGACCTAAAGGACATCCGCAATCACCCGAAAAGCAACAAAAGAAAAAAGTTGACAACTGAGAGTTGAGGCTCACAAGAAAGGAAGAGAGAGGGAGGGAGAGATAGATATGTGGGAAAGGCACAGAAGCACAGAACGAAAGAAGCTAAACCTTGGCCACGCCCAACGAGCAGTGTCTTCTTCTTTCCCATGCGTGGTGCCATGGCGTCATGGCGCCATGAGAATTGATAAAAGACAGAGCCTTCAATCTGTCAAAAAAAAAAAAAAAAAAGACAGAACATCCTATTCGAAGAGACCGGAGGGCAGGTAGCCTCCTCAACAACTGTTGGAGTGCCACGTGCTGGGACTGTAGGAATCCGAAAGACCGAAGCACACCGAATAACGAAACCCCGATTATCAAGCATCGATTTCTTGGTGTCGAGAATCCGCCACGGGGAACAACTCTCGAAGGACGACACGACACGACACGACACGATGCAGGGCTCACCGCTTCGCCAGCCACCAACCCCTGACCGGACCGGGCAGCGGCTTGCGGCGGTCCACCGTTGGTTGTTGTTCTCTCATTCTTTGGCTCTGGTTCACAAGATAAGGGAAACCAAACAAAAACAGGGGGGTGGGCGAGGAAGAAAAAACGCGTGAAATACGGAGCTGTACATAATCGCAATAGGGCTGACTAGTGATTCCCGATGAACACCTCAGGTACCCGTGGGGTGCTGCGGGCACTAAGAAGGGGGGGATGATGGGATGGGATGGGATGGGATTTTGGGGCCTAGATGCATCGTCAAGTTGCACCAGACTTTGCGTTGTCCATCTGTCTACCTACCTCGATAGCCAATTGTGTGTGGGGAAGAGACCGTTTGAGCCAATCCTGCCAAAAAAAAAAAAAAAAGGTCCATTGGGATGCGGCGGCTAGGTTTCTAACCTCGTAGGACAAACGACATTTCTCCTTGGTCGAGAGGCCTGAGAGAAAACAAATCTTGATAGCAACCCGTGTGGTGGCCGGGCACATGCCTCGCCCAACAGTTCCGTTCCGGCTGACGTTTCCGCGGGATGGCTGGCGCACAACTGGGAGGGTGCCGTGCTAGACGTAACACATAACCCAGCATTGCGCCGAACTGCTGGGAAGCGAAACGAGCCACTGAGCTGCGAGCTTGTTTGCACGAGGTCGCCCAGACTAAGATGAAGTAAGGTGTGAGGTGAGGTGGTGTCAACATCACCGCCAATCCGCCGGAGGATAACCTGAGGCTACGCAGGCGCCGTTGAACTGTGGAGTTGTTGTCAAACAGATCACCGGCAGTGTTCATATTGGGACATCCGAGAGGCGCATGGGTCCGTCTCGCGCCAAAGGAGCGACGTGCGCGTGTGCCGGGGTGAGGCCACATGCGAAGAATAGACGAGAAGCCAGTCGTACACTGAGCCTAGTCAAAAGCACGACTGGAGAAAAGTAATTTGTTCTTGGCACCAATACCATGGCATCCCTCTCCTCCTTCCCCGCGCGGTCTTTATTACTCGCTCGCCTACCATAGCAGGCCTGAGATGGGTCGATTGCTGTGGTCGGCGGACTTTCGGTTGAGTGTGGAATTCAAGCTTGCCTTTCGGACACTTGCTCCCCCCCGGTTTCCAGGTTTTCCACCCGACGCTGCCAAGCCCTTTTCAGGAAGGGAGTAGTGACATAACCGCTAGAGACCGTGCAAGTCTGGCGAGACGGTGAGGGGAAGCAGCCCTGCTGTTGTTCATGGGATGAAATGAGAGCTGTAAAGCCAAGCCAGCCACAGCCAAGCCGGGTAGGAGGAGCCTGGGGGAAAAGGTCCGCAATTAAGAGGCCGCCAGCTGCAGCTGTCCCATGCTTATTGTTCATCTTGCAGAGTCGTGCAGACACCCCAACTCAACCTCAGATGTAATTACTCAGGTAGATGGTAGGCAAGCAGGGTCAGCAAGCAATAAAAGACTTGGCAAAAATGGGTGTGAAGGAGAGAGCTCTGACCCCTGGGGCCGTTGGAGAGCTTGCAACTAACACGGCTGCTGTAGCCAGGAGAAAACCAAGGTGATACCCGGCGCCTTTGGTCGAGCTAGACTGCAGGTCATCTGGAAACTGGAGCAAGCAGACGAGCATCGAATTAACTCTTAGTGCGGGCCAATGAGGAAAGCCGAGAGTTGCGCCAGATTCTACGTAGTAGAAGGGGGGAGACGGGGGGACGTGGGGACAGAACGGGCGCCGCCGCAGCATCGGAAAGACGACTCGAGTCGACGAGTCGAATTGAGTTATTGCAGGTACTGTGTATCCGTAATAAGAGGTAGTCAATGAGGGGGCTGAAAGACATGGATGGGAAATGCCTCATAGCGAAAATCAAAATGCAGGAGTGGAGTGTCGTGGTCGTGTTGCGGCTTGCCCAAGTGGTGGCAGGATCAAGTCTGTACGAACCAAGTACCACCGGTATTTGCCTGCCTGCCTGTCTGCCTGCCTGCCCGTCTGCCCGCCTGCCTGCCCGTGTCTCTGTTCACAACTGAAGCAATGAGACGGCGAGGGGCCGGGGGAAGGCAGG